CTAAACGTGTATAATTTTTTATGTTCAATAAAAATGTTGCATCACGTGCAGTTGTTATTATCATTCAATAATATTAAAATGACATAAATATTTATGATGAACAGTCCAGAATATTTTGATAAGGAACCGTCAGTTGTAAAATGTTATTGTTATCTGATTAATGAACATTCGTCATACTTGCTGGTATGTCATTTATTATTGACAGTTTAGGTTTTTCAAAATTGCATGATGTAACAGTCCGAATGTAGACCTTAATTAAATGTTCTGGAATATTAACAAAAAATGAATAGTCAACCTCATTAACCATATATATGAATGGTTGAACACAAACAGTAAGGATAAATAGCGCAATGTGCATTTCTTTTTATTTTGGTAGCATATTTTAAGCAAAAAGAAAAGAAACTATAAGTCTGAAACATTCTCTCATAGCCTCCCCATCAGTACATTCAGTGCTTTGATTTCCTTAGTGGAAATAGTGACTGCAGACAATTTTTGAAGAAGTTGGGGATACGTCTCACGTGACAGTAATGTATTCGTCAGTTTATGTAACGCTGATATAGTGTCTAAAAATCCCTCAGTGTTTTCAACAGCATCTATAATAGCACTTTCAACTCGCTTTGTTATAAACTGTAGGGTGTTGCGACTAACGTTGATATAAGATTGACATACCATCTGGAGATCGATTGTATAAGAGTATTGTCCTGACGCCATTACTAATTGTTCTGTCTTTAGAATTCTTAACAATGCCTTTTATTAATGCAACAAACACGATGGAGATAATCTAACAAACACGCTGAGGATATATAGCATGTATAGGTCGCTTTTACGAGAGTATGTGAAACATTTACTTCGGACACTCCTTGAAACTGAAACAAAATAGGAAAAAATATGTATATATTTTAACATTTGGGATGATTTTTTTTCTAATCATTTCTTCATTTTTAAAAATTGTCAATAACAATGACGAGCAACAAAATGATCATTTCTGTAATAATAGAAAAAAAACTTAAATTTTCTGTTTATTATATACTTTTCTCTTTTTTAACCTCATGAAAAGGAAGGATTCCCCTTTAATTTTGTGTATTGGCTGAATTAAGAAGAAAATAATCCGGCAAGACATCAGTGAAAATACGGAAAATGTGTTTCACTGCAGTGAAAAATGAATTTTTACAGTGAAAATACGGAAAATAAAAAATACGCATTTTATTTTGACTTAAACAGACGTTATTGTTCTTTTTTACACATTTATACCATTATATATCATCATAATATATTTATTTTATCAATATTTCTCAATATTTCATTCACAAGTACATGTATATAATAAAACAGTTCACGATATGTTTCACAAACATTATTCAAATACAAATTAAACAGAAAATATCAAAAATCAACAAAATTTAAAAACACTTACAGATGATTTGTAATGTACGCAATTATTTCATTTCATTTTAACATATGGTTTGATACTAAAAAGTCAAACTCACTGATTATGAATTTGTAGAACTTTCTCTGCGTATTACCAATATTTCCGTAGTGAATCACGTCTGATTCAGTGGAAACCCATTATATTTTACGAGCAGTTGGAAAACCAATATTATAGTGCCGTGCGATTACAATGTACATATACGAGGTTTAGGGTTGTACTTATAAATGATTTTATTTCAAGGCAATTGATACAATGACATTTAATAAATGCATCAGCTCTGAAGCAGAACTCGTTCGTACAAAACTGAAAAAGCTACTTTTTCAAAATTTTCTTTCTTTCATTCTTCATCACATTTGACATTATCTTAATTCCTTTAACATTAATCGAGACCTCACGACAAAGGAAAGATTTTCAGTTATCGAAGTGTGTATTAGCTAGGACAGGTATAAATATTTCAATACGCAACACTGACAACCTTTTCTCTGTGCATGAGTTTTATATTTATTTTTGAGTCTTAATAAGTTACTTATTATTTTTAATTTACTGTAAATTCACTTAATTTAGTAGGGGCGTCCGTGGCCGAGTGGTTAAGTTCGTTCACTTCAAACTACCTGCCCCCCACCGCTGTGGGTTCGAATCCCGATAGGGACTTGGATTCTTTCATGTGAGGAAGCTATCCAGCTAGCTTACGGAACGTCGGTGGTTCTACTCAGGTGCCCGAAATAATGCACGGAAGGGCACCCGATGTCTTCCTCTGCCAGTAAAGCTGGTCGCCAAATGACCTATACTGTGTTGCCGTGACGTAAAACCCAATCAAACAAACAAAATTAATTTCGAGTTTAAGCTTTAGCGAATCTCTCTTTAACCTCAGACCCAGGTAATGTGGGCGGTGTTGTAAACTGTTTCATAACCATTCGAGGTTTGACAGCAAAACTGCAGTAACTTATTTGAAATAAAGAAGGGCTTACAACAGTTTTGCAATCATTCACCTACTTTCAGCAATGGGATAGCTATTATGAAAGACTGATTTGCATCTTAATCAATTCTAAAAAGAGTTACCATAAAACTATTTTAATAGAAATCTATAAAGAATAATAGCCAAAGAAAATATGAGCCGACAGTAGGACAGCATGCTCGACTATTCTCCGTGCCTGACAGTAAAACAAGAGCCTGGATAATAAAGAAATTTCTTATTTCAACTAGAACTCCGCGAGTCGGATGTGTCGCCTTGTAAACAATGTAGTTTAGGAGAAATGGCCAGGACAAAAATGAAATATGAAAAGTAACAAAGGGCAATAACTAAAAAAATAATAAGTGCAAAGCAGCAGTTTCTGTGCACTGCACTTCTTATAAATAAGATCTATCATTCTATGAAGTTTCAAGTCTATAACTTTTATACTTTCGGAGAAATGGCCATGACAAAAATTAAGTATGAAAATGAACAAAGGGCCATAACTCAAAAATTAAGAAATGCAGAGTACCGATTCTTGTGCACTGCACTTCTTCTTAATGAGATCTATCATCCTATGAAGTTTCAAGTCCATAGCTTTTAAACTTAAGGAAAAATGGCCCGGACAAAATTAAAGTATGAAAATAAACAAAGGGAAATAACTCAAAAATTAGAAATGCAGAGTACCTGTTCTTGTGCACTGCACTTCTTCTTAATGAGACCTATCATCCTATGAAGTTTCAAGTTCATGGCTTTTATACATTAGGAGAAATGGCCCGGACAAAAATAAAGTATGAAAATTAACAAAGGGCAATAACTCAAAAATTAGGAAGTGCAGAGTACCGGTCCTTGTGCACTGCACTTCTTCTTAATGAGATCTATCATCCTATGAAGTTTCAAGTCCATAGCTTTTTTAGTTGAAGAGAAATGGCCAGGACAAAGTATGAAAATTAACAAAGGGCAATAACTCAAAAAATAAGAACTGCAGAGTACCGGTCCTTGTGCACTGCACTTCAGGTTTTTGAAAGAAGCATGCATACCAAGTTTGAAGTCAATCAGACTTATAGTGACTGAGTTATGCTCTGGACAAGATTTAGGGGACGCCAACAACGACGCCGCCGACACAGACGCCGCCGACAAAAGTAACCCCTATATGTCACCTTTTCAAGGCGACACAAAAAGGGCCATAATTCTGTCAAAATCTATGTTAGTGTTACGGGTTTTGTTTATTTTTTGTTTTGTTTTGGGTTTTACGTCACATCGACACAGTATAGGTCATATCGCGACGTTCCAGCTTTACTGGTGGAGGAAGACCTCAGGTGCCCTTCCGTGCATTATTAGTAGAACCACCGACGTTCCGTAAGCTAGCTGGATAGCTTTCTCACATGAAAGAATCCAAAGTCCCTGTCGGGATTCGAACCCACAGCGGTGAGGGGCGTTACGGGTTTTGAACAGTGATCTAATTGTGCTTTCAAAAAAGTGTGTGAAGTTTCAACCAATTTCCTTCAGTAGTTTTTGAGATACATGTACCAAATGGAGTCTGCAGAATGAACGACGCCGACCCCTGGGTGAGTACAGTAACTCTCTCCCTATTCTTCTAATAAACCAGCTAATAACAGCCATAAACAAGAGCTGTCAGAAGGACAGCGCGCTCGACTTTTTTAGTGCTTGCCTATAAAACAAAACTTTGACAGTTAAGGGCACACAAGACTTTAACTAGGAATTTCTAAGTACAAATCAAGAAACATTTTCACAGTTATCTTCTCTTGCTTACAGATAGGTCTCATGATGGCACATAAGAACTCCAACTTCCAAAGTAATATCTCAAATGGTTAAGTCAACAAGTGGACAAGAATGAAAATCTTAACTGAGTTTCTAAGTCAAAAAGGGCCATAATTCAAATAAAATCCTTAACAGAATTACCTTCTCCTGCCCATGTTTTGGGACCATGATGGTAAACAAGTATTCCAACTTTCAAATTAATATCTCAAACAGTTCAGTCAAAAAGTGGACTGGTACTAAAAACTTAACCAAGATTGTAAGTCGATAAAAGGCCTTAATTTTTAAAACAAATCCTTGACAGAGTTACCTTCTCTTGCGTACAGATGGGGGTAATGATGTGAAATAGCATTAAAAGTTTCAAAGCAATATCTCAAAGGGTTAAGGCAATAAGTGGATTTTACCCATATTCAATGTATTTTCTAAGTCAAAAAGGGGCATAATTCTGTCAAAAACCTTGACAGAGTTATGTCCTCTTGTCTGTTGATGAAGGTCGTGATGGTAAACAAGTATGGTCAGTTTCAAAGCAATACCTCCAATGGTTTTGAAATAAAGTGAGGTGGTACAAAAAACTTAACCAAGCTCAATACACTTTCTAAGTCAAAAAAGGGCCATAATTCTGTCAAAAACCTTGACAGAGTTATGTACTCTTGTCTGTAGATGGAGGTTATGATGGTGAACAAGTATGGTAAGTTTCAAAGCCATACTTGTAATACTTCTGAAATAAAGTGGGGTGGTACGAAAAACTTAACCAAGGTGTGACGCCAACGCTAACGCCGACGCCGGGGCGAGTAGGATAGCTCCCCTTTTCATAGAAAAGTCGAGCTAAAAACAAATACTGGGTGTAACAAAACTATTTTATTATGTCACATAAATAAAACAAATTGAATACAAATTGAAAATTGCAGATTCTATTCCAACCATGACACTTCAAAACTTTAATATGAAGATTTGCCTCATAATAGTGAAAAATTACATGTAGCGTCTATTTTTCACAGTCATTTAACTGAACAAAAACAAATAAATGTTTTGTTTAACTATTTTGCAGTTTATTTCAAAAATAAAATAAAATTTCACTTTAAAAACAGACAGACAGGAATGGGGTGGCAGTGTTTTACCATTATTCTTATGGTTCTATTATAAACAGCCCTTTAAAACACACTGAAACCAGGTATCTTATTATTAATTCCTAGAATTTAAATACGTTAAATATAACAATGCAATCGACTTTTGAAAGTATTCTCAATGCTTAATACTAAATAAGACCATAGAACAATGAGACACATTTCACTCAAAATACATGTTTATGACTAAGCTTAGCTTAGTTACCACTCTTGAAAAGTGACTCAGGGAGTTTTGTTAGTTCACAAAAAGGTCATTTTTCATTCAAAATCCATGCTAGTTATGGGTCTGAATATTGATGTTGCATGCACAACTTTTCTAAGGTCTCATAGTCAAGGGGCCGTTATTTGGTCTAAATCAATGCTAGTGTTATGAGCCTTGAACAGAGACTCCAATTATGATCTCCACACATATTATAAGTTACAATCTTAGATATCTTCAGTGGCTGATAGGATGGGAAATTGTGCAAGAAGTTGCAACTAAAATTTAACCGGATATGTTACACTAGTGCAAATACCCAGATGGGTTAGGATAGCCCCACTCTTCATTGAATATTTAGAGCTGACTATTCTTAAAATAGAGCTGAAAAGCATCAAAACTTTTTAAAACAAACTATTTGTTCTTGATGTAAAAAAGCACCTATGTTAAATAATGTCTCCATATAAAATAACTGGAACTTAAATACTCTTAAGGAAACAAAAAACACCCTGCTTTTTCTGTACATGTGTAATTATTTTAAAGACAAATAAATGCAGTCAGTGTCTGTATATCTTCTGTTGTATAATTCATATCAAACAAAAGTTTTTCTAACATTTCATTAGTTTTGCCTGGAACTATAAAAGTGGCATTGCAAGGAACTATAAAAGTGGCACAATTTTTTTTTATCTAAACAATTATAGAAACTATCCTTCTTGGAAAAATATGAATATCTAAAATATAAATAAAATCTCTAAAATGTGTTTCAAACACTGGAATAGGAAAATCTATTCAAAACTTCACTTTACGGTTTCACATTAAAATTAGCCGCTAACCGTCTTCGAGATTTTTTCGCCGACCCTGTTTCCGTTTTTTTCGCTGATTTTGGAGGCGTCGACTGTTTTGTCTTTGGACTTGTACTATCAGTACTACCGGACTCTTTTCGTTCTGTCCTAGAATTATTTGGATCTGGTTTACTAGAAATGGTTTCACTAGAATCAGTTTTCGGTTTGTTAGATTGCATAGAGTTATCTCCCTTTACTTCACGTACAGGTACGTTCTCTCCCCTTTTTTCTAATGTTTCTTCCTCGATGCGAGAAGTGTTGTCATCAGAGACGGAAGTTTTCCTCGCTTTCTGTGGTGTATGTTTCCGAGTCACCTGAAATAAAATAAAACACAACGTACAACAAACTGTGAACATCTATATGTTTAATCTTAGTTTCTTGTATAAAAACTGGTTTCTTAAAGGCCCATTATGCGTCAGAAATCATAGCAAATTTAACTTTTTATTTTTGTGTTTCTTGTTACAGTTCCATATTGCAAAACATACTACAATACACAGATTATGATAAAATTCAATAAAAAAACTAAAGCTACTTTATTTTGTAAATTATAAAAGATAAATAAACTGTTAAAAGATTTTATAAACAAATAATGGAAAAATAATGTTAAGAACTCTTCATTAAGAATTAGTCAAACTATCAAACAAATAAAACATGATGCTTTGAGCAGATTTCTTTTGCAGAGAATGCAATTTGCAAAATTTCTGAACTTTGTAGCCAGAAGAAGTTATGGCTAACCCTTTTTTTTTAATTTGTGTATTTCAAATTTACAGGATATTTTTTTTTTTAATGAAATTGTACCATACTTTTAATCTAAGCCATTTCTGTGCTCTATATCCATGTTATAAAATTCAAATGTAAACATGGACATTGTGACTTAAAAAATGATTTTTTAGTAAATAAATAGGTGTAACATTATTGGTTCAGTTATTTAAAAGTGGCGACTTCAAAGAAAATGTTCTGGGTACCAGCTGTCGTGAATTTCCTTTTAATTTTATTTTATAATCCAAGACATTGGAAGAAAGAACACATTTCCTTCTTGAATATTAATTTATTTTAAAACACAACACGTTTTAATCCATTTAAACTATTTTATTTAATCATCACAAATATAATCCAATTATTTGACTTATTTGACTTAAACAATTTAATTTAATAATCCCAAATATAATCCAAGTATTTGATTTAACAACCTTTATTAACAAATCAGTCTTACTAATTTTATTTCACCCAATTAACTTATTAAAATGTCCCTATATATATAGCAAAACTTTCCCGCCTTTATAATTAAGCATGGCAAGAAAAGCATGTAAAACATGAAAACATAAATATCTCGTGCACAATAATTCACCGTCGGGGAACTTAAACAATAGGTTGCACGTGAAAAACCTTGAATTGACTGATAAAACACGAGCAAACATGAATACATAAATATATCGTGCACAATAATTCACCGTCGGGAACTAAAACAATAGGATTACTAAATGCACGTGAAAAACATTGAAGTAGCTGATAACATACGTGCAAAATGCTACTATATCTTCACCGTCGGATAACTTAACAATAAAACTTTAAAGACACGGTGATATATGATGTAACTTACTAAGAAAATGGTTCTTGATAAAAATAGTAGTATATTAAGATACATGTATATCGCAATATCTGCGACACTCCCGACGAAGAAGATAAACTTAACAAATGTACAACAAACATAGCTAGATGTATTTAAAAGTTCCTGTATATTTTCAATTCTTAGAATAAGTGAAAGTTTAAACTAACATTTAATACATTTTACATATGAATATATTTAATTTAAACAATTCCATTATTAATACCCACATATATACAAACAAGTTTATATAGTTATATGCAGTTCATTGTTCATATTCTTTTTGAATATCCTTCTTAGTTCATTTTATCCATCGATCACCAGTTACATATTCTTCATCATGTATTATATTATTTCCTCTGTAAGTATACACTGTTCTCCATGTCAAACAATGGTACAAAGTTATTCGTCTTATGTCGTCCTGTGTGTAGTTTCAAGCGCATTTTCATCTATATTAGTTTCATTGTCACTTATCAAAATGACGTCATCATCATTACTGTTGTTTACGTCATCATTACTGAAGCTATCGTCGCCATCATCACAAATGACTTCTCCATTTAAACTTATATCATTATCAGTATGTTCATCACTATCATTAGTGGATTTAATGTCAAGATTCTCATTTTCACTGTCAGCATTCTTATTTGAATTCACGTCATTCTCGCAATTTGTATGCACGTTATCCTCAGATTGGGAATCAGTTATGTCATCAATGTCGCTTGTATGTTTAAGTTCATCATTTTCAATAATATCGCCATCATTATAATTCAAATCTAATTCATCATGACTTGTGTCGTTAGCAACAGACTGAATTTTCATTTTATCATTTTATTGATGTTCAATCTGAGTTGATCATTCACAAAGCGTAAAGAACGAATTCCAATAACAAAAGCCATGATTTCTAATTTTGGTATAGTGAGTGGTTTTACTGGAGCGAGTCTTGCCTTTGAAAAAATAAGCTCGGTTTTGATTTTAGAGTTAGATTCTTGATGAAGATAAATTGAACATGAGTATGCCTTTGCCGAAGCATCACAGAAGCATGCAAGTGTATTTTCAATATGTTCTTCATTTTTGTGATCTAACGTTACACAACGTTGTAACATACAATGACTTATTTCTACCAAGTCATCCCTAATTGATTTCCATTCAGAGCTTTCTTTGTCATCTATTTCGTCATCCCAACCTAATCCTTTACTCCATAATGTCTGGATAAGGATCTTTCCCTGTAGCACAATCGGAGAATATAGACCAAGCGGGTCAAAAACCGATGCAACCAATTTAAGTACATTGCGTTTTGTTTCCTTTTGTTTTGTATTTTCAGTAACAGTAATTGGCTTGATTGAGAGAGTGTCTGTTTCAGTATTCCAATTATGTCCAAGCACCTTAATTATACCAGGATCAGCTCTATCTTTTGGTTGTATAAATGTATTAACTGATTCATCATTTGTTATCCATTCTCTCAGATTCATGGATATTTCATCAAAAAGTGACTTTGCATCTTTATAAAGTTGCATAGCTTCTGATTTCGAGTTTGTTCCAGTAACTAAATTGTCGACATAAATGTCGTTTTTCAGTTTTTGTGCTGTTTCACTACCGTTTGATTCAAGATGACTTTCTATTGTAGCACCAAGCAAAAATGGTGATGATATGACTCCAAACGGCACTCTACAGAATCTATATTCTATTATGTTTCCTTTTTCAAAAATGGGTTTATTGAAATCCTTAACCCACAAGAAGCGAGTTACATCCCTATCATTAGGCTGAAGGCCTATTTGTAAAAACGCTTTCTCTATGTCAGCGACAATAGCTATCTTATGAAGTCGAAACCTCATAAGCATTCCACAGAGGTTGTGTAACATAACAGGTCCTCTATACAAGTTTTCATTTAAACTTTTGTCACTTTGTTTTGTTTTGGCAGACGCATCATACACAATGCGTAATTTAGTTGTTGATTTAGATGGTGTTACAACTGCATGATGGGGAATATAATGGACGAGACCATTTTCTCTAGTTTTGTTATCTACCTTTTCAATTATTCCTTTTTGTTTTTGGTCTTCGATCACATTATCATACAGTTTCATCATTTCAGGTTTTCGTTGCAATTTGGATAGAACAGATTTAAGTCTACCATATGCCAATTCACGATTGACTGGAAGAATTGGTTCTTCATCTTTCCATGGCCATGCTACTTGGTATCGACCATCATTAAAACTTAATGTGTCTTTAAAATGCCTCATGGCATTTTCATCATTAGAAATATCAGGATTGTCAAGGATACCAATCGACTCGATATTCCAGAAATCTTCTAAATTTGGTTTAATGGGTATCGAACTATCAACACTTGTGAAAGTATTTGTATTTGCTGAGATATTTCCTTGAGTAAATATCAACATATTGACTTCTTTACTTTCTTCATCGTGATCATTCTTTGTACGTCCACTTAATATCCAACCACATTTTGAACTTAGTAAATATAATCCAGGTTGAATCTCTAATTTCTGACACAATACTATATCTAAGTAGTAGTCATTTCCTATTAGCATTTCGATTTCACATGATTCATTTTCACTTGCAATTGTGTCAGCTAGATCAACAGTTTTCAGAATATGATGTGCATTTTCTGAAAGCTGACCGATAGGTTTTCTTTGAATTGTGCCACTGATAACAGGCACTATGTTCACAGACATATCAAGCTGTTTATCACTTTTCAACATAAGATTTATGGACGATAACTTTGTTGTTATATGTTTTGATTTATTAGTACCAAAGGTCATAACATTTATCTCTTCTGTACCTTCTGCTTTCAAATTCAGTCGTTTTGCCAATGCTTCAGATACATATGAACGCTGTGACCCTGAATCAAGAAGTATTCGTATTTCTTCCTTTTTACCATTTTTTGGATTATTTACAGTTGTTGTCACTGTTTGCATAAGTATCATCTTATCAGATGAAACCATTCCAATTTCTGGTAAAATACCTACTTCTTGTGACGTTTCAGAAGCGTTATTATTATTGCATTGTTCATTGACCACTTCTCTTGATAAATGTGAACTTGTATTTGAAGCTTTGAATTTAGTTGGGCACAAGCTTCTGTGATGACTATTTCTGTCACCACAATGTGCACAAATTTTTCCTCGTTTACATTCGGTTGATTTATGCCCGAATTTGAGGCAACTGAAACAACTATTTTTCAGCATTCTTTTTCTATCTTCTATAGATCGGTACTTAGGGCATTCATCACTCCAGTGCCCCTTTTCGCAATATCTACATAATGTAGAATAATCTTTACGAACAGTATTAGTGTTCACAGAGCCCTTTTTATTTCCATTATCAGCCATGAGAGCTTCACCGGAAGTTATTTTATTGTTTTCGCCATTGAAATCTCTTCTAGGTGTAGGTCCTTTGGGACCGTAACTAGTAGAATGTTCCCTAGGACCAAAACTATTATAAGGTCCTCTAGGGCTAAGACTTGATATCATCCCCTGTGGGTATCTTTGAACGTTATCACGAACATTTCTTTGTAAACTATATGGTTTTAACTTATGTTCTACACTACAACTTTTCTTTTCAGATCTCTCACGGGCCACGATATAATCATTTAATTTATCACGTAATGTTGCTAAAGTCCATTCTTTCTTAGATCCGTTAGACATCTCAAGATGTAACAACACGTTTTCTGGTAGTTTTGCTCTTATCATAGCAATAAACACATCTTGATTGATATCTTGTCTTAATGCCTCTAAACTACGAAGATGTTTTTCGATTTGATCAACAAAACACCTAAGACTATGCACATTATTGGATGCACTTTGAATATTTATCAATTTGTTATAGTGCAAATCTATAACTTCCTGTGCATTTCCATATCTTTCCCGTAATAATTTGATAGCAACATGGTAATTGTCACCAGATAGCTCTAAACCTGATATTGCACTTCTAGCTTCTCCATATAGTTTGCTTCGTAGATAATTGAACTTTTGAATATCGTAAATATCTTTGTTACTGTGAACTGTGGTATTAAATGTATCCCAAAATTCACACCACTTCAACTTATCGCCATTGAATGAACACATGTCTAACTTTGGTAATTTAACGTTCATTGTTTTATCAGAATCTTTCTTTTCCTGACGTTCAAAAAATGCTTGTTGCAACGTCATTTGATTCTCTTGTTGCTTCATTTGTGACACAACAAGATTTTGAAACTCATGTTGCAAATCAATCATTTCCTTATATTCAGAGGAAACATTTGGTTTTTCTTCCTCTTTTCGAAGCCTTTCTTTAATTCTTTTCAGATGCATTTGACAATCAATTGCTTCTGAATATAATGTTTCATTCTCTTCAGCAATCGTTTGTAAAAACTCTGTATTCTCCGGTTCAGACTCGGATATTACAGAAACTAGTTTTTCCGATTGCATTTCAATTTTTGAAACATATACATCTATTTTTTCAATGAAGCTCTCAATTGAATCAAGAGCATCACTACTTTCCATATCATAAACATCGGTATGGACTAATTGTTTACCTTCTAAAATCAAATTAGAAAGTGTATTCCTAAATCTTGTTCGCACACCTTTGATATAAGGCACAGAAGACATTTTATTTTATTGGTTGTTTCCCGGGTTCCGGCGCCACTCAATGTCGTGAATTTCCTTTTAAATTTATTTTATAATCCAAGACATTGGAAGAAAGAACACATTTCCTTCTTGAATATTAATTTATTTTATAACACAACACGTTTTAATCCATTTAAACTATTTTATTTAATCATCACAAATATAATCCAATTATTTGACTTATTTGACTTAAACAATTTAATTTAATAATCCCAAATATAATCCAAGTATTTGATTTAACAACCTTTATTAACAAATCAGTCTTACTAATTTTATTTCACCCACATTAACTCATAAAATGTCCCTATATATATAGCAAAACTTTCCCGCCTTTATAATTAAGCATGGCAAGAAAAGCATGTAAAACATGAAAACATAAATATCTCGTGCACAATAATTCACCGTCGGGGAACTTAAACAATAGGTTGCACGTGAAAAACCTTAAACTGACTGATAAAACACGTGCAAACATGAATACATAAATATATCGTGCACAATAATTCACCGTCGGGGAACTAAAACAATACGATTACTAAATGCACGTGAAAAACATTGAAGTAACTGATAAAATACGTGCAAAATGCTACTATATCTTCACCGTCGGATAATTTAACAATAAAACTTTAAAGACACGGTGATATATGATGTAACTTACTAAGAAAATGGTTCTTGATAAAAATAGTAGTATATTAAGATACATGTATATCGCAATATCTGCGACACCAGCATCAAAAGCAAATGCATTGGTACAATACATTGAGGAAAAAACTGGATAACTAACCAGTATATACTAATTTCTTGGCCCTTGACCATATGGTAGGACCTCGATCCTATCAAAACATCTGAGTCTATGCAACATGCCTCAATAAGTAATGTCAAATATACTGATTAGTCAATTAAGAAACTAACAAGAGCTGTCAGTGGGACAGCCCACTCAACTATTCCTAAAGCTTGATAGTACAACAACAGCCTAGTTAATGTAGAATTTTCTAAATTCAAAAAGGGGCCATAATTCTGTCAAAATCCATGTTAGAGTTATGGGTCTTGGACAGTGGCCTCCAATTATACTCTACAATAATTGAGTTTTCGAGATCCCAACTTGCAGGCAAAAATATTATCCAACATGCGACGCCCATACTTTGGTTAGTACACTAGCTCTCCCAAATAGTCAAGCTTGCAATAGTGACAGGACAAAAGGAATATATCGACTGCTTGGTGTGAAAGGGTTGTAATTCCATTTTTATGACATATGGGTTACAACCCTTTTGCACTAAGCCCTCAAAATGAAGAAACAAAGGAATGACAGGCAGCAACTATATACTTCCCCAGAAAAATAATGTTAGGAATAGGTGATAAAACAATTGGTTATTTTCTTTGCGGAATATAACATGTTACATAGTGACTGATTGATATAATACTAAATTCTTACAAGAACAAGCAGGACAAGATGTGGAATATATTATATGAAGTGGGTCACCATCAGCTTCTCAAATATACAAATAGCCATCGTCACTTTTCACAATTAACTCAGCAGTATGATTTGAAATCATTGCTCTGTTCTACTGTTCTAAACACGTAACAAATTTAGATGAAATAGAGACTTCACTTTCAGAAATCTGTGAAAAAAATACAGCTTATGTTTGTCCTTCAATTTCTTTAAATGAACCCAGATTTCAAGTTTTTTAAAGAAGACAAATTACTATGTTTTTTCTCTAAATTTGTGAGCTTTTCCTTAAGTCTTCAAGAATTAGTATTTTTTTATTAGTACCTGCATTGGAACAAAAGGTGTAACCACACAAGTGGGTTGAGTTTTCACATCTTTACTTTGTTTTTGACTGTTGAACAGTGATCTTTCATCGGTTTTGCTTTCTTGATTCTGATTGGCTATTACTTCTTGAGGATTTTGGTATGTCTGATTTCTTCCTTGCTGCTGACTGGTTGTCATCTCTTGAGGATTTTGGTATGTCTGATTTCTTCCTTGCTGCTGATTGGCCGAATTATTTTGTTGTCTAGAGTAACCTCCCCTGTTGTAATGAGTTTGACCTTGACCCCCACTGAAAGGTCTCTGTTGCTGCTGCTGCCCGTAACCATGGTAACCTCTAGGGCTTTGACCTCTGTTTCCCTGATAAATTCCTGGAGCTATAAATCAAAAGTTTTTATATGAATCAAAGTTTTTTTTTAACATTTTCCATTTCAGACAATTCAGATCTGCTAACATTTACGTCTGCTAACACTTTATCAACATTGTTTAAACAAATTTATATTCTCCTTTTAAAGACACTTTCATTAGAATAGAATAGTTCATTTACCAAATAACCCTTTACTTCATATAGACTTATTTACGGCTTTTTCACCCCCCCCCCCCCTTTTTTGAGGCAGCAAATAGTGAATAAAATGCCCTATTTAGACCAAAAACACTTGAGATATGGTGTTAAAAAAGGAATCACTTTTTCGGTGCCATCCTTTATTAAAGGCTATAGTCCAGTCAACATTTGTGCGAAGTTTGAACAGTATTGAAGCCTTTTTTTATAGTTTCATAGCAATTTGAACTTGTAACAGGAGACTTTTAAATGAAAACAGCCATTTTTCACAAAAAATGGATAAATAAGACCATGACTTTCCTTTAATAAAGTAGATTCACAACATAAAAGCTACAACAAACAAAAATAGGGAATACCATTCTTAAAGACCTTCTACTTAATAAAATGCATTTAAATAAAATATCCTATGTACTATGTGACAAGACTGGGGAATAAATTCATAAATTAACTTTATTATGTTAATACATTATGTAATTCAGAATCCACCCACTAAACACTTTTCTTTCCAAGGAAAAGATTCTGGCACATATAGGTTATAAAAGACGAAAACAATCCCCTCTTAAGGAAAAACATCCCAGCACATTTACATAATTCATAGCAGATAAACAATTCCCTCCAGGCATTAAGGTTATAAATAGATGAAAACAATCCCCTCCGAGAAAAAATCCTGGCACATTTAGGTTACAAGTGCTGAAAATCAATTCTCTCCTGACCAAAAAAAATCTTGGCACATTTAGGTCATAAATAGATGAAAAACAATCCCCTCCCAAGGAAAAAAATCATGGCACAATTATATAATCAATAGATGACAAACAATTTACCTGTAAAAGTGTTAACAGGACTGAAGGCAGAATTTGGAGATGAGAATTGTCTCCCTTGTGGCAGAGCTCCGGGTACAAAACCTGGCATCTGCATCATCGGGTGAGCTGCCATCTGCTGCATGCTGCCCTTCTGTATCATAAAAAATATTAAAACATTTAGAGTAATCTCCCTTAGTTTATACTAATGTATTTTAGTTTGATTGTGATGGAAGCTATAAGCTTATTGAAACACTGTCCAATACGTTCCGGGAAACTACCAGTACTAAGCAATGAGTGTCAAGTTTCCCGCTCACAGAAACAAGGGTTTGTACCTGATGATGTCTGAACCCACGCGGCCAGCAATCTTTAGATTACCAGTCCAACATGTTAACCAATCAGCCACACTGCCACTTCATCTCCCTTGAACTAACCCCTAGCTTTGACTTTTAAAAAGTCAACTGCCTTTCTTAGTTTAAACATACATGTTTTTTATTTAGAAAATTAACAAGTTTGTATCATTTTACATCACAATATATATGGATTGGAAAACAAGCATAACACTTATATCAAATCCTTTCCATGGCGAAGTTTTGTCTTTATTAGTTCACTTTATATGAGCAGTGCATGTTTGAAATTTCAATATTGATCTAAATTAACAAAATTTTGTCTTTCTTAATTTTAAAATTAAGACACACACTTGCTCAAAATAAAACACAAGTACAGTTGACTCTCAATAAGTCAAAATCGCTTTACTCAAAATTCCGCGTTAGTCGAAGAATTTCTAAAGTCCCGTCAAATTCCCTTCTTTATCTTTGTATTTTAACTCCGCTTAGGTCAAATTTTGACTTACCGAGACTCCTGTTTAGTCGAAAAGAAAATGTGGTCCCGTCAATTAAAGTCCAACATATTTTCATCTCAATTTGTCGAAGTGTGAAAACAGCCGACTGATCAAAGGTCGGCGACATCAAGTTGAGATGATGTCACTCGTTATTCACACGTTTCATAGTAATTTTAATTGCCAGTCATCATGTATTATTAGCACGTCGTGAAAGTGGTTTAATCAGTTTCAGGACTTAATTGGTTTTAACAGTTAGATAAGTAAATTAAGATTTAATTAATTTAATTGTACCAGCCTAGGTATTGATGCGTGTTTTCAACGTAAATGACATTTTTATAATTAATTTTCCGTCATATTGCATACATTAATATGTACTTCCGGTTAACCATAGTTGCTACTTTCGTTTTCGTCCGATGATCAATTTACTTCACTAATTTACATTAGATATATTGTTGTTGAAATAAATGTGTTATTGTGCTTTTATTGTAATGAATTATCATGAGTGCGTATTAAAAGCATGTGCATTACTGATGGATACTGACAAACTTGCATTTATGTCATTGCTACGAATGCTTGTGTTTATATTTCACTTTTAATATACATGTATTAAATTTTGAATAATATATTTTTGTTCATTTATTATTTGTATTTGTAAGTGATTTACAGTCATTTCAACGGTTAAATATTGTAGCATTGCCGCTATCAACAATAACAAACCTACTTCTTTGCACATTCAATCAGGTACATGTATATACATGTACGAATGTCAACGTAATGGCGGCAGATCCACGTTACTCGAATTCCGTTTCTCTCGAAGTAAAATGCCCAGTCCCTTGGATTTCGAGTTATCGAGAGTCAACTGTATATCATTCTGTATATGTACAACTCAGTGAACTGTCAAAGAATTTTTCAGCATTTTAACAAAAATTATTGCTAGATAAATTTTAAAGTTTAGTATTAATATTCTATGAAAATGTTTATTAGTTATATCTTTATACCCATTAACTTACGAGTGTGCCTCAAAATGTGTTCGAAGCACTACACTTAATACCATATTCTGGTGTATGGACACGGACACAGCGCTTGAATGATTAAATGATAAATTCTTGCCTTTTCACCCGCCCAAATGCACTTTAAGATGTCTAATTCATCTCTTCAAATGGATTTAAATACAATCATGAATGAAAAATGTAAGAATTGATCATGAATGAAAAACGTAAGAATCAGTAAATATTGATATTTGTCTAGTTTGTGGTCATGATTGCTGCAAGCGTCTCAAGGTACTGCTCCAACACTGTAGGGAGTTAAATCCTTAATGACAAGAGCCACCGCCGGGCGGGGGCAACGCTCGACTTTTTACTTTTTCTAAACGCAAACATAGAAAGGTTTGAACATATATTGATGTTTCCTTTTTATAAATTTAGTTGGTCTGTCTTGTCACATTAGTTTTGTTTATATATTTTGTATATATATGAATAGAAACATTAAGCATATTTCTAAAAATAGAAACAATGACGCAATTTCTAAAAATAGAAAAAAATGACGCAACTACTAAAAATAGCAACAATGACGCAATTTCTAAAAATAGAAAAAATGACGCAATTTCTAAAAATAGAAAAAAATGACGCAATTTCTAAAAATAGAAACAATGACGCAATTTCTAAAAATAGAAAAAAAAAATGACGCAATTTCTAAAAATAGCAACAATGACGCAATTTCTAAAAATAGAAAAAAAAATGACGCAATTTCTAAAAATAGCAACAATGACGCAATTTCTAAAAATAGCAACAATGACGCAATTTCTAAAAATAGAAAAAATGACGCAATTTCTAAAAATAGAAAAAAATGACGCAATTACTAAAAATAGCAACAATGACGCAATTTCTAAAAATAGAAAAAAATGACGCAATTTCTAAAAATAGAAAAAAATGACGCAATTACTAAAAATAGCAACAATGACGTAATTTCTAAAAATAGAAAAAATGACGCAATTTCTAAAAATAAAACAAAAATGACGCAATTTCTAAAAATAGCAACAATGACACAATTTCTAAAAATAGAAAAAATGACGCAATTTCTAAAAATAGAAAAACATGACGCAATTATATACATGAATATATATGTATATATATATATATATATTTGATATATATATATTTGATATATATATATATATATATATATCTATATATGTATATATATATATATATATATATATACATGCATATATATATATATTTATATATATATATATATATACCTGCATATATGTATATATATACACACACACATTTATATATATATTTATATATAATATACATATACTATACATACACACACACCGATAAAATGCACAATCTGAGAAAATTCAGTAATATAACCTTCAAGGTCAAGGTCATTAAAGAGCCCAAGCAAATTTGGGTTTGATAAACAACAAGGGGTGGTCCTTAAGAATGTTCTGTTATAATATGAAGTTTATCCCTTCAAAAATAGCAAAGTTACAGTCAGTTACTGCCAAAACAATGAAAATTTCAATAATTTGACCTTCAAAGGCAATGTCATTAATGAGTGAAGGTCAAGGTCTTTCGGTATATTTTTAACAGTTATCTTTGAAGATTATTATGTTCAAGTTTGAAGACAATCCATTCAAAAATAACAAAGTTACAGCCAATAATAGCCAAAAAAATGAAAATTTCAATAATTTGACCTTCAAAGTCAAGGTCATGGATGAGTGAATGTCAAGGTCTGACTGGTTATTTTTAAGGGATATCCTTGAAGATTATTATGTTCAAGTTTGAAGACAATCCATTCAAAAATAACAAAGTAACAGCCAATAACAACATGAACAAGCAAAAATTGGACTTTTAACCTTGAAGGTCAAGGTCATTTATGGATGAAGGTCAAGGTTAGTGTGGTCTACTGAAAGGTCTTGTCCCAAGGGTTGTTGTGGCCAAGTATGAAGACAATACACCAAGAAATAAAAAAGTTATGATCCAGGTACAAGTTTTCGGACGGCAACGGCAACGGCAACGGAGACGGCAACGGCAACGGCAACGCCGACCTGACTATAACAATACCTCTACTTTTTTTTTCAAAAAAAAAAAAGTCGAGCTAAAAATGAGCCACGTCATGACAAAACCAACATAGTGGGTTTGCTACTAGCATGCATCCACGCAGTCTGATCAGGATCAAATATGCTGTTCACTTACCAACTCTATTACAAGTATAGAAACTGACAGCGAACAGCATGGATCCTGATCAGACTGCGCGGATGCGCAGGCTGGTCTGGATCCATGCTGGTCGCAAACCCATTATGTTGGTTTTGTCGTGACGCGGCTCAAATATTAACATATATTACATACCAGCTGTAGTAAGGCAACACTGGCCGCAGATTCTGCTGCCTCCTCCTTCGTCTTACACAATGATCCCTGAAATCTGGCTCCGTTAAATAGTGATACTACACAGTAGAATACCCCACTCTGTAAATATTTACATTATCATTATAGTTATACAGTTTTAACCATTTACAAATATCAGAAAAATATTTCCAGCATTTCTAACAAAAAAAAACTTTATTTTGTACATGTATTTACATCTTTAATTGAAAGCTGTTAGGTTTTTTCTTTATTAATCATACAGTTTAAGCACTGTCCAATTCAAAGCATACAATTTGTTCCTTATGTAATAGCATCAATTTATTTTTGGTAAGGTTGTCCAATATATCCAATATATATGTTGGACATCACAATATTTATCTGGCACTTTTATATTGCAATATGTTTTCAGAAATAGTAATATATTGACACTTTAACCTTTTAATAAAATCATTATTATAGTCAACTTGTTTTAGCTTGACTTCAAATGGCATTTACATTAAGTTGTCAAATCCTTTATTTACAATCCTTTTTATAAATCTTTTATTAAAGGGCCTGTCACATACTATTCATTGGGGCATAATAGTAAATGATTAACTCTTTAAGGTTCTATAGGTCTTGCCCTTGATTTTCAAGTATTATAAATAGTCCTCAATATACGACAATATGTCTGAAAATATCGCAATATTATTATTCTTTGTAATACCCACCTCTTATTTTTGCACAGTTCTACCAATCTTGTCTTCATATGACAAATCATTTGCTCACTAAGTTATTCCAGAATAATTATTCAAATTGTTAAAAATGACCACAATGCTTTTCACCCACGTATATTTCTTAACTTTTATAATTGTACCACAAGAGGAAAACAAAATACTCATCATAGTGTTTTACCTTTGGTAAATAATCATACATAGGTAAACCCATTTGTAAAGACTGGCAGAAGCTCATCAGCTCCATTACTGGGTTCCTACAACAAACAAAAATATATATACTGGCCACACAATAGTCAAACATGGAAACAAGAGCACTGCATGCTGTGTATACGCTCCTCTGTTAAGGGCAAAGACTATCTATAACCACCAAACAATAGTCAAACATGGAAACAAGAGCACTAGACTCGTCGGACCTATGCTTGTCCAATAAAGGCAATTATTTGATTATTATTTTAATACACTTTGACTTTAAAAAAACTTTTTCGAATTTGTTTTCTAGCTGATCATAATTATGCGCCTGGGCAAGCATAGATCCAGTGAGTCTACATGCCACTCCTCTGTTAACAATAACCAATTTTGACAAAAATTCTAGGTTGAAAAGGGGAATAACTCCAAAAATATGACTTTGAAACATCAATTATAAAACCACAACTATCAAACTGTCTGTAACATCTTTGAAGATAATAAGCAATGAATTACATATCATTCTTGTTTCATTAATACCCCTATATTTTCTAACTAAGAAAGATATTTTTAAATGTGTATTGTCAAAGAAAAAATACCAGACTGGAGAAATTGATATGATTTACCTGTTACCACCTCTAGACTGTGGTATCAACAATGCTGGTCTTTTGTTTTGTACATTATTCTGAAAACCTTGCTGTTGACCTTGATGACCTTGTGGTTGCCTTGGTGACTGTTGACCTTGACCCTTCTGTTTCTGGTACCCCTTTCCTTTGTTTTGTTGTTCCTGTGATTTATCTACATCAGACTGAACCTGCTGCTTCTTGGCACCTGCATGTATTAATCAAGGTCATGAACTCAAGGTCATATGATAAATTCAAGGTCACAATGTCAATGGAACAAAATCTACATCTGAATCTTAATTAGCAACCTTGACCACTTCGCAATGGATACCATCAAGATTTAAAGTAAAATACGTTGATTGAAGTAGTCTTGCAGGTACATGTATAAGGTCTCTGTTGAAGAGTGGTTAAGATCTCCAACTTTAAACCACTTGCCTCTCAATGCAGTGGGTTCAAATCCCATCATTGACTTTTGAATTCTTTCATGTAGCTAGGATTGGTGCTTGCATGTGCCTAATATAACGTGTTCAGGGACAACTGAGGTCTCAGTAGAGCTTAAAAGTTGCCATTTGATCTTCACAGTGTTGGTGTGACTTAAAATTCAATGAAAAACAAACAAATATGATCCTATACATTTCGCCAGTTTTGTCTGTACACAATTTTACTGTCATATGACATGGCAGCCATTCTTCATTGAAGTATCATCTAAATAAACACATCAATTTTATTTACAATGGACTGCAGGGCAATTTCTATGGTAATATGTTTTGCTCTCAATGAACATAAGGTTACAAACAACTGACTTTTCATTTTTTTTTCTCTCTTCTTTTTTTGACAACTGAAATACACTGATAGTTTCATATTTTTTATCCTCAAAGGTAGCAAATAGAATGTACAAATATAAGTTTAACTCACCATCAAACAATTCCTGAATAGAAACTTGTCTTCCATAACTCTTCCCACCTCCACTACTTGCTCCCCCACTATCTGCAGGAGGGTCCGAATTCTTGCTGGATTCTGATTGGTCAGTTATATTTAGCATCTTCTTTAGTGCATCTGTGCCATTCTAGTCAGAACATAATTCACACATTTGTAACAATTTCATATTCAGTAACTCAAAATAAAACTTCTATACAACAACAAAAAAGAAACAACAGAATTTTAGGACCTTATGTTATGTTTATTTTCAACTCCTTGAAAGTTTATCTTTTTTTTTTACTGAAAGCTTTTTTATCTTTTTACTGTACTGATACAGTTTTCAAAATGGTATTCATTTGCCATTTCTTTGAAACATGGTTTCTTCCTTTTGCTTTTTGTCCAATTGTTAAAGAAATTCAGTATTCTTTTATTCACTACTTTGTTCACTATTGCTACTTTTTTTGACTTACTTAATCAGAAAATTAGCATGTACATTGTAAAATGTTCTAAACTGATAATGAAAATATCATAAAACACATGTTTACCTTTACTTGAGAGTCATTTCTGAAGCTAAATGGACCCTTACATACAAAAATTGTTTTCTACAACCTAAAATAGTCAGTGATCAGTATATAGCTTACATTATTACTTACCTCTGGTTTATTTTCATTTTCTTCTTTAGATATGTGAACTTCTTCAAGAGATTTAAACATGGCTGCAAATTCATCGTTAGACACTACTTTAGAACTACTATACTGTGATTTACTGTCTGATTTAGCATTCTGAGCACCTGGCTGAATGGTTTTAGTGTCATTTGCATTGCTTGCTCCAGAAAACAAGCTTTGTACATCAATTTTAGTATTATTTTGATTAGAGTTGCTTCCCTTACTGGCATTATCAGGGGAAGGCACTCTTGGCAATACTGCAGCTGCTGATGAGAGTGACAGTCCTTGACTAGAGTTATCTGCTGCTGGTGGTTGAGATGCCTGTAACTGTTTCCATATGTTGTCAAATTCTGTACTTCCACTAGTCTGCCCTTTCCCAGGCTAAACAGGAGATAAAAGAAAGTTATTTTCCTTATTTAAAGGATATAAGATATGATAATAATCAGTTAAACTGCTGATATCAAATATTATTCTCAAAATAAAGAGGGCTAATGCAACTTGATTTGTACATTAGCATCTGCAGGAACACGAGAATGCATTAAAAGCCCTAGTCTACAGGGCGAGGTATTTATTCAGTTAGAGGACTTCTGTAGTTGTTAATGCACTAAAAAAGGTGCATTAGGGCTATTTATGCATAAAAGTATACATCTGAAGTGGTGTATTTGCGTTTCATTATTAGTTTTAAGAGGCAATTGCTTGTGTCATGCTTTTATTTTCAAATTTTTAAAGCAAAAATGTTGTAAAAAAATGATCACAAATATTACTGATCAAAACTTGCAAACATACTTTATTCTGCTGGGACTCTCCTGTGGACAACTTCCTTTTTGACTGGTTCCCTGAAGTGACTTTAGGAGTGACAAATGTTGGTTGGCTGGTTCCAGCACTGGCTCCATTAAACACTTGTCCTGATACATCTTCCTTCGTATCCTGTTAAATAAAGAAAACTAAAAATGTGTCCAAAGGACACGGATGCCCCCACACGCCACTGTTCAGTCAATCTTATGACTCTAGGTCAAATATTTTTTGGACTACATGTGCTACATGTTGAAAACTAAAAATCAACAAAGGGCCATAATTCTGTAAAATTTGGCCGCAGCAAAAACTTCTTCCTTTACTGCCATCTACACATTAAGGTTGTTCATCCCTGAAAGTTTAAGCAAAATCTGCCATCCGGTTTAAGAGGAGTTACGTTCACAAAATTTCTACATAGTATCTAGTGAACATATCAACAAAGGGCCATTATTCTGTTAAATTTGGTCGCAGCAAAAATTCCTTCCTTTACTACCATCTACACATTAAGGTTGTTCATCCCTGTAAGTTTAAGCAAAATCTGCCATCCGGTTTAAGAGGAGTTGCATTCACAAGATTTCGGGACGTACGGACGGACGTACCAAAATTTGATGTTTATGAGGCAAATGAGCTCATAAACACCACCTGGACCAACGTCCATAAGCAAAATAAGCTCATAAAAAACAAAAAAATAGCTCTTAATTTGAATTTTATGAGTTTATGTTCTTTATTTAACTACAGAATGAAGCTCATAATAATCAAATGTTGGCTCGGCCTTTGACTGACGGATGGACGGACAAGTGCAACGCTATATGCTCCCACATTGTGGGGGCATAAAAATTGTATATCACCATAACATTGAATAAGAGCACTGCACGTAATGATAATGCTTGTCTCTTAAAAATTCTATATTAAAAAGGGGCATAAATCCAAAAAAATTGCTTTCAGAAGTATGCGCCTTTCTAAAAACTGCACCTTGTCTTGATAAGCAAGTACTCCAAATTTCAAGTTGATTGTCTTGATAACTGTACCATGTCTTTACTTATAAATGTTTGAATAACAGGTACATTTGACACTATAACACAGCAATCATAATAGCCAAACTTTCTCTTTGAAACAGACAAGCTAATTAAATAAAAGTGAAGCGGCTGAGGGTTGTTCACCTCTTTCCCAAAAATATTGATCCTTACTGGGTTGAGAGAGCATAATTGGTGTATCCAGTAGTATTCCCTTGAATGTCTTGGAGTCATACTCTAATCTGAGGTTGTCAGATTGAAGAATTTCAGTAATTTTGACATTGCATGTACTTAACATAATGGCTATCATTGGCTATCAATGAACATATATTAAAAAACTTTCAGTCAGACAGTGCACTTTGCTTTTCTAATTTCTTAATAGTAATTAAGGAATTTTGAAAACTGAGAATGGCTCAGTAAATGGCCACGCTATATCTATGGGCCCTGGTCAGTGTGTAGGAAGCTATGAGGTGCCTGGAACCAATCAGTACTGGGCATTGAAGGTAAAGTTTCTTGCTTAAGGGAAAAACAACTTGCCCCTGACAGGGTCCTAGCCCATGCAGCTATCAATCATTAGATTACTAGTCTGACATATTAACCACTTTTCCATGCCACCACTAAGCTACATTGTAATGTTGACACACAGGTGAGTTTGACAGCCACACTAAGTTCTTACAGCCAAGCTAAAATTTCATCTGAAGTACAGCTTTGACTGATGATGTTCTGAAACTTTTCATACAATTTTATACCTGTGTATTTCTATTATTTTGCTTCTCGTATTGATCATTCTGTCTCGAATAGCCAGCCTGATTTCCTGATCTACCCTGCCTGTCCCATTGTTGATTACCTCCCCTGGAATACTGGTTGTCATGGTAACCTAAAAAGGTAATATAAATATGGTTATTACAATTTCTTTCATTGACCTTTAAATTGTGATACACCTATAGACTGCACTTCTCTTTTTACACAGTTTGGTTTGTTTGTTTTGTTGGATTTTTTTAAGGTCGCACCAAAAGGACATTAGGCCACTTTACTGAGGAAGAAGACCTCAAGTGCACTATTTCAGACACAAGCAGGGACCTCTGTAAGAGCCATTGACCTTCCATACAATAACTCAAAAGCTTTCTCACATTCCCTGACGAGATTCAAACCCACAGCATTGAGGGGCAAGTGATTTGAAGTCAGAAACCACTTGGTCATAAAAGGCCCCTTAAACAGTTTGTAAGGCACACTTTGAGTGACTACAAAGCCTGATAAAATTTAAAATCAATGAATATGAAAAGCATTAAAACAAAATTAATTTACATGTTTAGAACAGTTTAACTACTAAACAAAAACAACTTTTCACACTAATTATCTTTAGACAACTCTTTTTCTATTATGTGTCACAAAAATATAAATAATTGCTAAATTCTAGACGTTTTTTGTAAAGTTTGTTTATTTGAAATGCAATGAAAATTTCATATTCAATCTTTCATTATACTGTAAGATAATACTCGAAATGAAGTCTAACAAATTTCATCAACAATGACCTGTTCTGTTATCAGGTAGTCCTTGGTAACCACCTTGATTTCTTTGAAAACCTTGTTGCCCTCCATAACCTTGATTATACTGGTGAGGCCCTGGTTGTCTCGGGGCACTGGCATTAGCATAACTAAAATCATTGGTAACATTTCTATGTTGCTGGCCCTGGTATGGCTGGTTCTTGGCTGCTACAGGAATTTGTATGGCAGATTTGACACCATTTTTACGTTCACCATGTGTTATATTCAACAATCCCGATGGTGGCATTCTGTAACCTCTCTTTGATGAATTTCTGTAATGATTAAGTCATATTAAACTCCTGTATTTCTGAAATGGACTTGACCAGCTTTTTATTTTGGAACAGTGCAGGTCAATTTTGGGGTAATTACTAATAACAATTGACTTGTGTCCAAAAAAAATAAACTGTTAAATTTTCACTTAGCAAGAGCACTTCATGGCGACAAAATATTCTAAGTTAAAACAGTGCATAACTTTAAAAATAAGATTTCAGATAACAACTGCACCTTCACATGAAAACCAAGAGTAGCAAGTTATGTGTTGATATATTCTAATGTTTAAATGATGGGCTCCATTAAAGATATTGCATGACAATGATGATACACCTATCATAATAGCTCCACATTTTCAAGCTAAAAATCATAAATTTCATTGTTTTATATTAAAACCAAGCGAAAACCTTTAACAAATTCAGTACAACCTCTGCATAACAATGTTGTTTGGAATATTGAAGATTTTAGTTGTTACTGTGAGAAGTTGTATAATTTTTATTGAAGACTTACTCTTGGAAAAAATTGCTATTGTTTGTTGCAAAGAGCTTATTTCTTAAAAGAGAGCCACACTTCAGAGGTTTCACTGTAGTATTACTTGCTCAGGGTCTCTTCTAGTATTGCAACATTCAACCATTCAGCACCAAACTTTAAACAGATGTAATTCTGAATATAACATTATACAACTGATGCCACTGGCATAGGATAAAGAAGAACCACATTTAGATCAGGTACCTACCTTATAGAAATTCCTCCCTGAAAATCGTCATCAAAGATCACCTCATACATTGTATTGACCTCGACCTCTGCCGGATGTATTCCCACAACTGTCCCCCGCAAACCAAACGGCACCGGAAATCCCTGTCTTGTATTAACAACTCTGTCATAGAGCTGGTACATGGCAGACTGATCCGGGATCAGAGACCCGCTCGTAGGCGACGGCTTTAAGTGAAAACATAATATTTAAAAATACACTCATGTGGAATAAAGATAAAACTTATTGATATTTTTTATGATTTAAGAGGGTTTTTCCTTTGAAATTCAGACAGGGGGTGAATGGATCCCAACTTTCAGATTTTGGGAGTCTGTTGAAGGTTTTTAAGGGTCCCAATTTCAAAACATATTTTCAGCAACTGAAATCTATTCAAGTTGTTTATATGTTACAGTTGTAGGCTTCTATTTCAAGGACACCTATCTAAGAGATTGACTGTATGGAATGGAAATTGGGTAATTCTCTTCAATAGAAAAGGTGCCTACATTATACAGATCAAATTTTTCTCAGAAAAGTGACCAAATAACCATAAATGAATGGAAATTTTAAAATTGGTTCGAGGGTCCTTGGCATGCATTATTGCTGAAAAATGGCAGTCCTAGGACCAAACCCTGCTTAAGGGAAAACCCTGATTTAATAGGGGAAAAAAATCAAAATCGACTAAAAAAAACAAATAATTGTTGTAACACTACTTTTGATAATTTATGAAATTTCTTCAAACACTGGCACATACATGAAATAATAAAAAGTACATTCAAGTCCCAGTTACATAAAGTATGTCTCAACAAAAAGATGCCATCCAAAACCTTGTTCTTTTTTTCAATATACAGATACAAATACTTCACACTTAATATAAAAGCCATTCTTTTTCCAAAGTAAAAATTTATATCCAAATAGTATTCCACAATAAGGACAAAAGGTATTGCATCATTTGAGTGTAACTGGTATAATTGTATACACTACCTTATAAAGTAGATGAGGCTTAACTTGCATTTTCACTCTTTTTTGTCTTTTCTTGTTTGCCTCCTGTAAAAAAAAAAAAAAAATTATTTCAGGCACCTGAGTAGAACCACCAATGTTCCGTAAGCTAGCTGGATAGCTTCCTCACATGAAAGAATCCTCAGTCCCTGTCGGGATTTGAACCCACAGCAGTGAGAGGCAAGTGGTTTGAAGTCAACGACCTTAACCACTCGGCCCCCACAATATCATGATAAGCACATATTCTTAGGTACACTTAATACACAAAGACCATAAGGTAACCACCTTTCAAAGGTATACTTACTACAACTTGGTCTGTCAGTTCCTGCAATGCTTTTATAGTTCCTTCACTAATAATATCAGCCCCTGATTTCATAGTTTTCAACCCAGAGCATGGCAACTTCTTTATAAACTCTTCAACAGTTTTTAAAGTGTAATCGCTGAAATGATCAATAAAAAGAAATGATTTATTTGACTACTACAAAATACATCGAACTTCGTTTGCTCGAACTCGCAGGACCTGTGCAAATTTGTTCGAGAGATCGGTAGTTCGAGCCAACCGAGGTTGAACTATTACATAGAACATAGGCTTAAAGAATTTCCATCTTACATTGGACAAATGATAAATACGTCAATATAATTGTTTGTTAGTAAATGATAAATATGTCAATATAATTGTTTGTTAGTACATCTGTTTGTCGAAAACGTCAGATTAAGAATTATTATCTTATTAGCAGTACACTGCGTTTATCTATGTTCATGCATATTGCAATTGGTTGAGTTCGATTGGGCGATCATTATCCACGCATTCTGATCAGGATCCATGCTGGTTGCTATCAGTTTCTCTACTTGTAATAGTTTGGAGGCGAACAGCATAGATCCTGATCAGAGTGCGCAGATGCGTATGCTGGTCTGTAGTTAATTTTGTAATGGTGCGGCTCAATTATAAAGAAACCCAGTACCTACCATGTCTTAGGTATGAGATCAGATTCATAGTACATATCATTATGCTGCTTGTTTGATTTGGAAATACTCTCAAACATCTCTGGAAACCTGAAATGATCATGGTTATCTATTTAATGCCAGACCAATGGGGATAAAATCAGCCTAATTATAACTGTGTATGAAATCTTGACCCTGCAGTTGCAAATGATTTGAAATTGAAAAAATATGACATATACTTTTTATGTTCATGGAACATGTTCATAGAATACAGTCCTATTCATATAAACAAATTTTCCCTTGTGATTTAATCCCCACAGGTAAAGGTTTCCCTAAGTAGCAATGAGGTCTCCCTCATGTGACATCATGATTAAAAAGAAACCATTCATTTATAGATCTATACGTTTCAAAACTTTTTCAAACATTTGATCTGAAGATTTTGAGATAAATATTTAGGAAGATTTACCGATCTTCTGATAATAAAATTGCGTAAAAATCAAAGATTTGACATGGACGAATTACCGGACATTAGGTTAAAAGTCCTGAGAACATTTCATTATCAATGGCAGGAAAGCTATCAATGTTTACTCACTTATCCATATATTGGGACAAAACATCGACAACTTTATCTGAATACGTCCACTGCCCTTCGTTGTTTTTAGTATACCCAGGAACTTCCTCGCCTCTTTTAGTAAACTTCAGATTCAGTCCTACATTAACTTTATGTGGATTGGCCTGTTCACGAGCTAGCTCTGCCTCCCCAGCTGTCACATAAATTGTGCCGGTCAACCGTGACAACAGGTGCGAACTTATGCCGACCTTCTGCGCAACAACGTAACCGGAATAGTAACGGTCAGCATGCACCTGAAAATAAACAATAATACTATCTTAACTTTCTTAAACTGACTTGTCCAACTTCCATTTTTGCCACTTTTCATTATGCAATTAGGGGAGTATCAAGTTAAAAATTAGGGGGATATCAAATTTAATTTTTTTAGTTGATTAGCCAATAGTATGGATCCTAGTCTGATTGCACGGAAGAAAAGGCCGGCTTTGCTCTATACTGTCACTGAAGGCATAGGCTAATCACTTCCAGTTCCAAACAGGTTTTGGGTAAAATACTGTAATCTTTCATTGTACTGATTGTTTCATTTAAATAACAGTTTCTACATCCATATATGTAATTCACTGTACTAAACATTTTTAATAATAATTATCTCTTCTTCTATAAAATACTATGGAGTACTAAGATGATATTCCTACAGTGGAAGTGTTTAACCATTTATAATAGACTAAAATCTATTAATTAATTTATTATTTCTTTTTCCTTTTTTTTTTGTCTACTAGATAGTTTGCTTCAGAAAATAATTAAAAGAAAGAGGAAAAATATGAGATGTCTCTAGCAAAGAATTTTCTTTAAAATATTATTGAAAGTGAGTGAAAAAAGGACATTTTCTGAGGGACCACATTCAGTACCATTTCAAGCACAGTATGGGGAGGGTTATCTACCTTGATTATAAAAAATAGTGTATTCTAGCATTCGCCCAGACATTCCAATAGCTAGCAGGATTCAAACCAAGAACAATAAGGACCAAAATATTTAACGTTAGCAACCTTTACCACTCAGCCATAAAAGGCTAGCCATAGGCTAATCTTGCTTAAAATTGAACACAGCTTTATCATTTAGATAAAAATATAATAATGAAATATCACTAAATAAGAAGGCTTGCTTTAAAGGGACTCACTCCAACGAGTTATTTTTACATAAAGCGACCAAAATTATTTTTAAATGTTTTTGTATTACTGGATGTAGGGGTTGAGTAATAACTCATGTACAAAGTTTCAGGTCATTTGTTTACTCTGTTTCCTATGAATAATCAATTTTATTGTGCAAATTGACCCAAATCATTGACCCAAATCAGCCAAAAATTCTCATATAAATTGAATTTTTATTTACTACTGAGTATATTTATATATCACCTATTGCATAGTTTTTAATTCAAAGTGTACCAGTTCAGTTACCAAAGAATTTCAAATTTATGATTTAGATGATTGTTCCTTAGTAGAGTTTCTTTAATATTCAAAAAAAAAAAATCTAAACAGCAATGTTAACATTATAAAAATGTGTACTATAAATGAATGCATGTCTATGTATGTCCATTTACACAACAAATGCATTCATATTTTAAACAGATATTTTCGCTGCATTGGTTTATGGGTAGAAAACATAGACACAGTCACTGAAGATCTCTACTATACATTATTCTTATAATGTTTTATGATCAAATTGTGTTAACCTTTTAACCCTCAGCTTGCTAGTAGTAACACATTCTACCCATCTGACCAGTGCAGACCTAGATCAGCTGGCACATTTGTGTGGTCTGATCGTGGTTCACTGTTCACCCTTCAGACAGTACTTATTTAGAATTTTCCCTAAAAATGATTAATGGTTTTCTCCAGATTAAAAGATGAAAAAATCTGTTTATGTTAAATAGCACAGTAAGAATTAACACCTTTAAATTCACCCTGTTTAATATTATGTACAAACCACTCGACCACTTCAGCAATATTGAAAACAGATTATCATAAAAAATGAATCAAAATTCTAGTTGATTTAATAAGTCAATATGAAGCAAATGAAAAGGGCAAAAATATTTTCAAGCAGCAAATAATTACTTCATTGAAAATTGATCTTTTTAATGTGCAAAGGAATTGATGGAAGAAATGGAAACCTGTGTGATTATAAATGAAAAACTTTTAAAATTGACTGAAAAAGGACTTTTATGACAGGTCTGTTTTTAGCTTATGAAGCTATGGAATTGATTGTTTAAGCCCATTGAAAGCCCTTAACATTAATGATCATTAGTTAAATCAAGTCATCTTTTATTAACCCATTACTTCATGAGCATTTTGTGAAAAATGGCTGTTTTCATTGAAAAGTCTCCCGTTACAAGTTCAAATTGCTATAAAACTATAAAAACTGCTTCAATATTAGTCAAACTTGGCACAAATGTTGACTGAACCATTGCATTTGCAACATCATGCTAAGGCTTAAATTTCCGTCGAAAGTGCGTTGTTTCGCGTATATATATGAGGTAAAGGGTTAAATCACGCTGCTGTGAATGAATATGTATATGCTGCCACAGTCAAACAGTGCATGATCAAAATCATAGATCTCATACATGTATATGATGGGTGTGTAAAGAGGATGAGTGTAATGAACAGTGAAGATTGGGAACAAATATGATGGATTGAGCAGTTGACAGTATGTACCCAATGATTTTCTTTCAAGTCTTTTGTGAGTGGAACCAGGCCCTTTGAGTTGTAAACAATGGCACTGAAATGCTTTCATTTGTGAATATAGTATATCACGAAATATTATACAACAGTATATAGTATAGACAAGTGAACTTACTTTAAATTTGGATTTGTCCATGATTAAGTAGTTTACAAAGTTTTGTATATTAACACTAAAATTCATTAGGCAGCAGTACCCTTAGGGTCTAGTCTAACTGCAAAGATGTGTAGGATAGATGGACTCTATATTGGTAATAGTAACTTAGGTATGAGTATTCAAAAGGTCATGGTCACATGACTGGATGATAATGGTAAAAATCATGTTAAAAGGCAACAAAGCAGAAGAAAAACACGCTAAAACGCTACCATACCATTGATGGATGTATCTGAAGTGTATAAAGGAAAAAAAAGGCTACTTAATAATCTTAACTTTTAATCAACATTATTTTTCAGGCTTTTATACAGATAAAATTAATGAAATTATTAAAGAAAACAAATAGCTAATGTGCACCCCAGGTTTGTTTAAACTACTAATAGGTAACCGGGCAGAACCAATATCCTCAATACAAGCTATACCCTCAAATTAACCTTTTAATAAAGATCAAACATGGTTCACACATTGACGGAAAACAAAACTTTATGACTATAAACATCTTGACCTGTAATGCTTTTATTTTTTTGTTTAATTTCAGCATCAACAATCACATACTTTCACATGAAAAACCTTCCATAATCACATGCTTTCTCATCACCACACTTCCATAATCACATGCTTTCACATAACCACACTTCCATAATCATATGTTTTCACATAACCACACTTCCATAATTACAGTCTTTCACATAACCACACTTTCATAATCATATGCTTTCTTATGACCACACTTCCATAATCACATGCTTTCTCATAACCACACTTCCTTAAAATCACATGTTTTCTCATAACCACACTTCCTTAAAATCACATGTTTTCACATAACCACACTTCCTTAATCACATGCTTTCTCATGACCACACTTCACTTATCACATTCTTTCACATAACAACACTTTCATAATCATGTTTTCACAAAACCACACTTCCGTAATCACATGCTGTCTCATGACCACACTTCAATTCCATCTACTAATAGGCAAGGCAAAATTTCTCAGTGACAAAATCGGACATAGAGTCTAACTGTCATTTGTCTGTCACTGCTGATTCAGAAATCAAGTGAGATAAGTAGTTGGTTACTTATGGAGAAATTGGTAATTAATTACTTAACCTGGAAAGCTGGTTTCGTGGATCGACCAACAAGATATGAGGAAAACTGTGTTGAAATCGGAGTAGAAAACCAGACAAACACGTTACCTGATAATAGGAGAATAGTAGTCACAACTACTTCACTTAATTACAGACAATAAGTACAAACAATAATAGATATTTTAAACAAGAGGGCCATGATGGCCCTGAAGTCGCTCAAATGTATATAGGCCCCGGAGTGGGGCCAGTTTAAACCCCAGGGCTTTTATTTGAACAAACTTGGTAGACACCAATTAGAAGATGTTTCATGCTAAACATCTAAGGTCTAGCTGGTCAAGTTTTTTCTTAACACATATAGTTAAAACAATGACACACCTGGGGCAGGGCCAGTTTTGACCCAAGGGCTTTTATTTGAACAATCTTTGTAGACACTTGCTAGAAAATGTTTCATGCTTAATATCTAAACTCTAGCTATTCGGTTTTTTTCAAAGAAGACTTTTAAGTTTTTGCTATACACATATAAGGAAAAACAATGACACACCTGGGGCAGGACCAATTTTGACCCTAGGGCTTTTATTTGAACAAACTTGGTAGACACTTACTAGAAGATGCTTCCTGCTTAATATCTAAACTCTAGCTATTTGGGTTTTTTCAAAGAAGATTTTTTAAAGTTTTTGCTATACACATATAAGGAAAATCAACTAGAACTATCACTAAATGTGATTAATACCCCCACAAGACTGCTTCGGAAATGAGGATGTTACTAAGAATTGAAATATAGAGTTATGGTTGTTGGCAATTAAAGATAGTTGTGGTTCTTGTATGTTGCATTTCCTTTCAATGTGGTTGGCCATTGATGAAGTTTAATTGAATTACTCTGTATCAAGTCCAGAAAGACAAAGAAAAGGAACAAAGGGCAAAAACTCTATAAATACTGAAGATAGAGTTATAGTTCTTGTGCACTGCACTTCCTCTTATTGTGCTTGACCATTGTATGAAGTTGTTTTGAATTCCAACCACTACGTTTTAAGTTATGCTCCTGACAAGGAAAAGTATCAAAGGGCAGTAACTCTGTAATTATTCAAGATGGAGTTATGATTCTTTTTTTTTAAAATGGAGTTATGGCTCTTGTGCACTGCACTTCCTTTTAATGTCCTTGACAATTGTATGAAGTTGTATTGAATTCCAAACAGTGGTTTTCAAGTTATGCTCTGGACAAGGAAAAGTAACAAAGGGCAATAACTCTGTAATTATTCAAGATGGAGTTATGATTCTTGTGCACTGCACTTTATCTCAATGTGCTTGACCATTGTATGAAGTTATATTGAATTCCAAACATTAGTCTTCAAGTTATTGTCCGGACAAAAAAAGCAATGGAAAAGTAACAAAGGGCAGTAACTCTGTAATTACTTTAGATAGAGTTATGGTTCTTGTGCACTGCACTTCCCCTTATTGTGTTTGACAATTGTATGAAGTTGTTTTAAATTCCAACCAGTAGTTTTCAAGTTATGCTCTGGACAAGGAAAAGTAACAAAGGGCAATAACTCTGTAATAAGTCAAGATAGAGTTATGGTTCTTATGCACTGCACTTCCTCTCATTGTGCTTGACCATTGTAAGTAGTTATATTGAATTCCAACCATTAGTCTTCAAGTTATGCTCCGGACAAGGAAAATGCAATGGACGTCTGGACCTACCGACCGCCCGACCGACCGACCGACCACCGGGTGACTCCTATATACCCCCTAAAACTTCGTTGTATGTAGTTATATTGAATTCCAACCATTAGTTTTCAAGTTATGGTCCGGAAAAAAAAACAATGGAAAAGCAACAAGGGGAAATAACTCTGTAATTACTTAAGATAGAGTTATGGTTCTTGTGCACTGCACTTCCCCTTATTGTGTTTGACAATTGTATGAAGTTGTTTTGAATTCCAACCAGTAGTTTTCAAGTTATGCCCTGGACAAGGAAAAGTAACAAAGGGCAATAACTCTGTAATTAGTCAAGATAGAGTTATGGTTCTTGAGCACTGCACTTCCTTTCAATGTGCTTGACCATTGTATGTAGTTATATTGAATTCCAACCATAAGTCTTCAAGTTATGCTCCGGACAAGGAAAATGCAACGGACGTCTGGACTGACCGACCGACCGACCACCGGGTGACTCCTATATACCCCCCAAAACTTCGTTTTTGGGGGTATAATGACCCCCGGGCGGGGCCAATTTTAACCCCAGGGCTCTTATTTGAACAAACTTGGTAGACATCCATTAGAACATGTTTAATGCTAAATATCTTAGCTCTCGCTCTTTGGGTTCTTTAAAAGAAGATTTTTCAAGTTTTTACTATATGCATATAGGGAAAATCAATGACCCCCTGGGGTGGGGCCAATTTTAACCCCAGGGCTTTTATTTGAACAAACTTGGTAGACACTCACTAGAAGATGTTTCATGCCAAATATCTAAGCTCTAGCTCTTCGGGTTTTTAGAATAAGATATTTAAAGTTTTTTCTTTTGGTTGACATGGCAACCAGAGTTCTACATGGAATCAAATTCTTTGAACAATTTTCAAAGTTGACCACCAAAGGAACATTCCTGTGAAGTTTGGATGAAATTGGCTTAGTGGTTTATGAGGAGATCTCATTTAAAGTAAGTTTACGAACCGCGGACGACGTACAGATGATCACAAAAGCTCACCCTGTCACTTTGTGACAGGTGAGCTAAAAATTAATTAAAATGGATTCTCTTTAAAGAAAGGAGGAAAAAATAGCAAAATATCCCACACCTGTTGATGATTAATGACATTGGAGAGCTGCGGTTCCTCTAAGATGGACAGGTTGATACGGACACGCCCACTGTCTGTATCTGTCTCTATTACCTCCCCTTGGCATGCGTAATGTGGCCAACCAAGCATAAATACAGCAGTTCCCTCAGGAAGATAGTCCTTTAATGTGCGGAACTGACAGAAACCAGAATCATGTACAGCTATATCCTGAAATCAGACAGAAACCAGAATCATGTACAGCTATATCCTGAAATCAGACAGGAACTAGAATCATGTACAGCTATATCCTGAAATCAGACAGGAACTAGAATCATGTACAGCTATATCCTGAAATCAGACAGAAACTAGAATCATGTACAGCTATATCCTGAAATCAGACAGAAACCAGAATCATGTACAGCTATATCCTGAAATCAGACAGAAACCAGAATCATGTACAGCTATATCCTGAAATCAGACAGAAACCAGAATCATGTACAGCTATATCCTGAAATCAGACAGAAACTAGAATCATGTACAGCTATTCATACTTCATTGTATTTAAGTGTATTTTCCTGAGATAATATTCTATCTTGTTTTTACTTGAAAAGGTTTTATATCACACAATTACAGTATTGTTGATATGGTAACTTTCCAGCTTTACTGACGGTGGAAGACTTCAGGTACACATTCATGCATTATTTCAGACTCAAAGCACCTGTGTAGAACCTACCACATTCCATAAGCTAGATGGATAGCTTTCTCATATGAAAAGTTCCAAAGTTCCTAGTTGTGAGAGGCAAGTGTTTTGAAGTCATCAACCTAAACAACTCGACAATGGACAACTTTAGTATTATTAAGATTAAATTCAGTTAATCAGTTTCGTTTGGATGTATTCTAGTATGGCGAGAAAAATATTGATGCCATTTTTAAAGGTCAAACTGAACCTTTAACTTTGTTTTATTACAATCAAAGATTAAAAAGCTGTTGTAAAATGCTGATCTATTTCTATAGAGTCGAGTACAAGTTTCACTTGTGGCACAAGTATTTTTAAATTTACAAACCAGGGTTTTTTTTTTTTTGAAAACGTACAAAACAGTGTGTAGCCCTCGTGAAAATGATCTTACCTTAACAGTGGCTTGTTTAGCAAATGCCACAGGTAACTTTCCAAACTGTTTATCCATAGTAACTCTGCCGTGAGAACTGAATATATACCTGTCACGGAAATATACATAAGTTACAGTTATATCATCATTGTTCAAAGAAATTGTTTCTTTTCTCTTGGGGGTTGGGGGTTTACGTCACATCAACACAGTATAGGTCATATCACGACGTTCGTGCTTTACTGGTGGAGGAAGACCTCAGGTGCCCTATCTTGCATTATTTCAGGCACGAACCCGCACCTGAGTAGAACCACTGACCTTCCGTAATCTAGCTGGATAGCTTCCACACATGAAAGAATCCAAAGTCCCTGTCAGGATTCGAACCCACGGCGGTGAGGGGCAAGTGGTTTGAAGTCAACAACAATAACCACTCTGCCAAGGACGCCCCGTTCAAAGAAAAACATAGACTATACTACAAATATGAACTATGTAATACTTAAGACAATATTTTCCTATTTTTGTGTTAAAGAAAACTCAAAGCCGCATGAAGAAGCAAGAACATTCAATATAATGCCCCCCCCCCCCCCCCCCCAACATGACAGCATAATTATGGGGTTGCAATTAGTTTTTGACTCTAATTCTTCTGAAAATATTTTTTTCTGGAATTGTTTCATAACAAATATCTTACTTTCTGCCAGTCATAGGTAAGGCCCTCAGTAAAATGTGTGTGTCACCAATGACTATTCCAAGTCTGTCTTTATACCTGAAACAGAAATTAGTCCAGTAAATATCAAATGCAAGTCAACACAAGTTTTTAATTTTTTTTAGAATTTCCTGATAAAAGTATAGAGCAGTGACCTAGTGGCAGTGATTCTGGTTAAATCAAATCTTACAGATGACCTTTATAACAAGCATTTTAATGTGGCAAAGATGGACACCACTTTGACACAGATAAAAACATGAACACACTTGAGAAACAGCAGACAAATCAATGTCACCTTCGGATAAAGCCCCATAAAAGGCAATATAAGCTCTTCTGTAAATTTTCAAGGCAGAATTTTAAGCATCTACACAGTACACATTCTGTATTTCATGTTGATAACTTTTATAATACTTGAATAATGAGCTACCTTAATGTTTTTGCACTACAACAATGATGCCACGCAGCCATCATAATAGCCTGACTTTTTCTACAAAACATGAGATAACAAACCAACCTTTCAACAATAGTGCTGATTTCCTTTGAGTATATTGTATAAGTACTGTCATCAATCTGTTCTCTTTTGATCTGTGGTCGATGGTTCCCAGCTTTACCTTTACCGCCAGCTGGTTCCTCTTGTGTGTAACTGAATGAGAAAAATTTTAATCCTTACTATATTGAAGCAGGAAGTGTTAAAGCATTTGCCACCAGTATAGCACCAGTTCATGTTGTTGGTTTTTTCCTTTTTTAAATAGGTATGTCTAGTCCCATTTCTTTTTTTTTTGTCCAAGAATGAATCATTTCCATAAATAAATTTTATTAAAATAAAGTTAAGAAAATATCAACAGACTTCAATCATTAGAAGGTCAAGGCCAAAACTAAATTATTCAACATGTTCATTTGGAGTGTTGTTTTGTCCACATATAAATCAAATACGTACATAAATAACAAAATTATAACAATTTTACCAAAATTTAATAATTTAACCTGATGATCAATGTCATTTAAAGCTCAAGGTCAAGGTCAGTTCAACCTTATTTTTGTAGTTGTTTACATCAAGGAAACAATGTTTTGCAATGTTACTTGTTTCTTTATTCACCAGACAATATATAGCATACTAATACATTTTAAAATTTTCATAATGAAAACTGGCATGAATCGGGAGGCATGCTGCTTTAGTATCAAGTTTCAAAAAATGTTACCTGTATTCACTGTTACTGACTGCAATAACTTTAGCCTCATACATATGTGGCCAACCAACATAGATTTCTCTTCCAAGATATTCCTTTGCCACTTTGTCTATGTCCTTTATGAAAACAGAAGAATATAATGTAATTTGTAATTCACAGGGAAAAACATCATTACTCCACAAGACAAATTATGAAATTAAATTGTATTATCTAATGTGACAAGTGAAAATAAACTATAATCAAATAAATACATTAACGAAGTTTATCACATACCCGTGCCAAATTTGCGACTCTGTGCATTAACTTTAACATGACGTTAGTTGCGTTATACAAACATAGTGTCAAGGCGCGCTAAATGTAAGCATTACACTTTAGGCGCGTCAATGAAGAGTGATTCTTTTGCGCATTAAACAGTCTTCATTTTGGGTATGTGATATATGAAATATTATATTCCTGTAGGCTCATTACAACAGACTTTGTTGAACTCGTTAAATAAAATGATATTTTGTGTGCCAGAGGCTCAATATCCTCTATATATTATTAACTACTAATAAATTTAGATTGATTTATGCATTGTTTGTTGGTTTTTACCATGCTTTTAATACTTTTTGGTCAGATCATAGTGGCTGATCCACCAAACTGGCTTTTCCTAATAACCAGTAATTACTATTTAATAATTTATTCCCACCAAATTAGCACAGTATTTCATTCATCTATTATATCACAAATTTCTTAAGGTTGAACACCACAAAATGTAACAAGAATGTGGCAAGGGTTAATTCAAAAACATGAATTTTTGTTTTCACCAAATTAGCACAGTACTTCATTCACCTATTCTAACTCATATTGCTTAAGGTAAAACACCACAAAATCTAAGAAGAATGATTTATAACTTGTATACTTACAGGTTCCTCCTCTCCTTGTTCAATGTACAACATGGTATTATACCCTCGACTGTTCATCTGGAACACCTTTACCCCCTCTTTACTTAACTCAGCCTGTAATATATGTTGAATTACATCTTTAATTGTCAATAAAGCTGCATGTTTCCAGATAAGCCAAAATAATCAAGAAGATAAAACTTGAGAAAAAGTACTAAGATTTTCAGAAAAGTACAAATATTCAAGAAAAAAAAGAAACAATTTCCAAGTTATGTGCGATTTATGATAGATTATGAAGCATTTTTTACTGTACTTCTATTGCAATACTTCTACTGCATTACTTCTACTATGTTACTGACGCAGTAAGGGCTATTTTGAACCTCTTTTGGGTAATTTACATTGGTTTTAAGTGCTGTTTGCAATGTGTAAATTATTTCCTTTGTTCATTTTACAATATTTTACTTTTTAATACAATTTTCATAAAAATTATTAGGAATCTAGAGGCGTACCGCTTTAAAGTCACAATGACATTGTAAAGGTCATTTGTCTATACTCAGAGGAACAGATGGATGGAAATCTAAGGTGCCTAAGTAGAAGAACCACAGACCTTCGCCAATCTGATAAAGTAGAAAGAATTTGAATTCCTTGGCAAGATAAGAAACCCTAAGCAGTGACGGTAACCACTCAGCAATACAATCTCACACATTAGTGAGAAACTCAAATATTCTCCACAAGTCCAGTAAGTTATAAAAATAAAATACAAGTCAGAAACTAAAGTATTCCACACTAATGTCTAGCAAAGTAAGTGATAAAAATAAAATGCAATAAATGATCAGAGTACTACACATAATTTGAAGAAATGAAAGTCACAGGTCATACATGATGTGGAATATGTTTCAATGTAGGGAATCCTGGGAAGAAAACGTCTAATTTGGCTCCTGGCAGCATTCCTTTTCTCAGTAATTCGCTTGGAATACGAAACTCATCCATATGAACCCGTGTCAGCCTGAAAGCATAGCGTCATGTTTTTATTAGATGCAAAAGAATGGTAGGTTTTAGACATTAGCAAAAGTTGGAAGAAATGAAAATTGCTCACTGTAACTTTTCAAATCACATGTAAATGACACCATTGTCTTCAACATAAACATAATTTTATTTTTCTTAGCCAGACTTCATTTTAATTTGCTGCACACAAGAAATAAGTTGTTATGTATCCCAATATTCTTGTTTAAACAAATATGCAACATTACATTTGTATAACATAAACTTCATTGGCTCTTTTTTCAAGTTGCTAAATTTGACAATTTGTTACTCAATAATTTCAATACAATAATTAAAGTTTGGTCCTTGATAATTAATGCTTCTTTCATCAGAATGCAGCTTTCTTTAAAAAAAAATTTTTACATGGAATAAAACAACAGAATATTTCTTTTAATAAAATGCCTTATATTTCTTTCATAACTGGTATTAATTTTTTTCATTTTGTAAAACGTACTTGGAATGACTGATAGCAATGTCCGGGAAATCTGGTAAAGGCGAGGGATATGGCTCGCCAGCTTCCGGTGTATATTCGTAACACAGGTGCGGACCATGACCATTACGTGCCTTCTCCTCATCCGTAAGAAGATGCTCTACAGATCGAATTGCTGTGAGTAGTCGATTCTAAATAAATAGTAAATGAAAATATATTGATTTGTCTTGCATAAAATCTAAACTTGTCCATTATTATTGCGAGATATTTTAAAACAAAAATTACCTTACACATATAGTTAAAAACAATGACACCCCTAGGGCGAGGCCAGCTTTGACCCCAGGGCTTTTATTTGAACAAACTTTGTAGACACTTACTAGAAGATGTTTCATGCTTAATATCTAAGCTCTAGCTATTTGGGTTTTTTCAAAGAAGAGTTTTTTTAAGTTTTTGCTATATACATATAAGGAAAATCAATGACCATCGGGGCCGGGCCAATTTTGACCCCAGGGCTTTTTTTAGCAAACTTTGTAAACACTCACTAGAAGATGTTTCATGCTTAATATCTAAACTGTAGCTATTTGGGGTTTTTTCAAAGAAGATTTTTTAAGTTTTTGCTTTACACATATAAGGAAAATCAATGACCCCCGGGGTAGGGCCAGTTTTGACCCCAGGGCTTTTATTTGAACAAACTTGGTAGACACTCACTAGAAGATGTTTCACACCAAATATCTAAGCTCTAGCTCTTTGGGTTTTTTTAAAGAAGATATTTAAAGTTTTTTCTTTCGGTTGCCAGCAATTTTTAAAGGTGATCACCAAAGGAACTTTCCAGTGAAGTTTGGATGAAATTGGCTTAGTGGTTTATGAGGAGATGTCATTTAAAGTAAAAGTTCAAAGACGGACGGAGGACGGACGGACGCCGGACGAAAAACGATCACAAAAGCTCACCCTGTCACTTTGTAACAGGTGGGCTAAAAAAATTCACCCTCGCCAGACATTTGTTTGTTTTAAGAAAAACAATTAAAATTAATAAAAGTAAACTTAAAATCATCAATTCTTAGAACCTATGCAGCAGTGTTGTCCCGTTTGTGTTCAATAACTTTGATTCTTCATTGTTTTCAGGACATTTCCCCCACCCCCTTTCTTTTAGGTTAGGTTTAGCATTGCACAGCATCTATAGGTTTTATGGCGACTTTCCAGCTTTATTGTAAAACTAACGACATTCAGATGATTCTGTAAACTAGCTGAATGGCTTCTTCACATGAAACAATAGAAAGTGTGCAGCACTGGAACCAACAGCATTGATGGGGGAAGTGTTTTTTATGTAACTTTTTAGTATACCGGAACTCTGTCACGGAGGTCGCGATAATAAGATTTTTACCTCATCTATAAAAGGGATGAGAACAACAGCTTCCCAGTCTTGTTGTTTCCCATTCAGATCTGTGTCAAACTGTAGCGGGTAAAAATCTATCACAGGTGATGTGTGTCATTGATCATCAGTTTCTAAATATATTATAAAATTAAATATAATATATTTAAAGTAATCATTAACAAGTCAAAAGCCTCTTGTTAATAGTAAAAACTGTTTTGTTTGGGTTTACAGCAAAACTTACACAATTTAGGTCATGGCGCAAGAAACAGGAAAGAAGATTTTGACTAAACTTGGGTTTTACAAAAATCTCAAAAAATACATTCTTGAAAATAGATGCTCTCAAATTCTTCATCCATTCATTAACTGGGTTTGAAAACAGATTTTAATCAGACATTTTTTAAATAATAATTTTTTCATTATTTCCCTATATATACATGTATATATTTTTTTATTTAATGCATGTATCAAAGGCCAAATATTCGAATGATGATACTGATTATGCCCAAATATATTATGTGAATATTATAAGTGTATCTTAAAGTCTAAAAGATATATAACAAGAGCTGTAAATAGGGCATCTTTGTCGGCTAATAGTAAACAAGAGTCTGGAAATGTAAAATTTCAATAAAGAACCATTATTCTGTGTCAGAATCTGTTTAGAGAAATGGGTCTTTGACTGCTGAAGGTAAGGTTTCAACCCATTCACTTCTGTAGTTTTGGCAACACCAACTTGCAACACACAAAAACTTTTGTCAAAAGTGTGATGGCTATGCTGAATGATGATAACACCGACATTCCGAAATAGCTCTCCCTATTCTTTTAACTAGAACTGCCACTATGATGGCGTGAATACCCCCGCATACCACTTTGTCAGAATCAACAGTGGCCATTTAGAGCTCAAGGACAACCTCCCTGCCAAATCTGAGGTTACTAAGCATGCATTGCTAAGTTAGTATTCTACATGCTTCAAATGTGAAAAATGTCAAAATCAATACATTGCGGAAGGACATTCTTTAGCAATTGAGAAGAAAAAGCTTTTTTTGTCAAGGTCCCTGTGACCTTGACCTTTGACCCAGTGACCTCAAAATCAATAGGGGTCACCTTATAGTCATGATCAACATCCATGCCAAATATGAAGACTGTGGGTTAAAGGAATCTTAAGTTAATGGGTGGACAAACTTTTTGAAGTCAAAGTCCCTATGACCTTGACCTTTGATCCAGTGACCTCAAAATCAAAAAGGGGTCATCTACTAATCATGACTAACCTCCATTCCAAATATGAAAGACTGTGGGTCATAGGAATCTTAAGTTATTGGGCGGACAAGCTTTTTGAAGTCAAGGCCCCTGTGACCTTGACCTTTGACCTAGTGACCTCAAAATCAATAGGGGTCATCTACTAATCATGACTAACCTCCATGCCAAATATGAAGACTAAGGGTCAAAGGAATCTTAAGTTATTGGGCGGACAAGCTTTTTGAAGTCAAGGCCCTTGTGACCTTGACATTTGACCTGGTGACCTCAAAATCAATAGGGGTCATCTACTAATCATGACTAACCTCCATGCCAAATATGACGACTGTAGGTCAAAGGAATCTTAAGTTATTGGGCGGACAAGCTTTTTGAAGTCAAGGCCCTGTGACCTTGACCTTTGACCTGGTGACCTCAAAATCAATAGGGGTCATCTACTAATCATGACTAACCTCCATGCCAAATATGACGACTGTAGGTCAAAGGAATCTTAAGTTATTGGGCGGACAAGCTTTTTGAAGTCAAGGCCCCTGTGACCTTGACCTTTGACCTGGTGACCTCAAAATCAATAGGGGTCATCTACTAATCATGACTAACCTCCATGCCAAATATGACGACTGTAGGTCAAAGGAATCTTAAGTTATTGGGCGGACAAGCTTTCTGAAGTCAAGGCCCCTGTGACCTTGACCTTTGACCTAGTGACCTCAAAATCAATAGGGGTCATCTACTAATCATGACTAACCTCCATGCCAAAATATGACGACTGTAGGTCAAAGGAATCTTAAGTTATTGGGCGGACAAGCTTTTTGAAGTCAAGGCCCCTGTGACCTTGACCTTTGACCTAGTGACCTCAAAATCAATAGGGGTCATCTACTAATCATGACTAACCTCCATGCCAAATATGACGACTGTAGGTCAAAGGAATCTTAAGTTATTGGCGGACAAGCTTTTTGAAGTCAAGGCCCCTGTGACCTTGACCTTTGACCTAGTGACCTCAAAATCAATAGGGGTCATCTACTAATCATGACTAACCTCCATGGCAAATATGACGACTGTAGGTCAAAGGAATCTTAAGTTATTGGGCGGACAAGCTTTTTGAAGTCAAGGCCCCTGTGACCTTGACCTTTGACCTAGTGACCTCAAAAATCAATAGGGGTCATCTACTAATCATGACTAACCTCCATGGCAAATATGACGACTGTAGGTCAAAGGAATCTTAAGTTATTGGGCGGACAAGCTTTTTGAAGTCAAGGCCCCTGTGACCTTGACCTTTGACCTAGTGACCTCAAAATCAATAGGGGTCATCTACTAATCATGACTAACCTCCATGCCAAATATGACGACTGTAGGTCAAAGGAATCTTAAGTTATTGGGCGGACAAGCTTTTTGAAGTCAAGGCCCCTGTGACCTTGACCTTTGACCTAGTGACCTCAAAATCAATAGGGGTCATCTACTAATCATGACTAACCTCCATGCCAAATATGAAGACTAAGGGTCAAAGGAATCTTAAGTTATTGGGCGGACAAGAAAAAACCGACGGACGGCCGGACGGCCGGACAGCCGGACGGACGGACGGACGGCCGGACAAGCTGATTCCAGTATACCCCCCTTACAACTTTGTTGTGCGGGGGTATAAATAGTCAAGCTTATAAAAATGGCTTATTATAGCAACAAAGCCACTTACTTGATATGGAAGAGGTAATAAATCTTTACTGGCAGCAGGTAAAACTGCCATCAGTTGTTCAAACGGTTTAAATGGAGTGCCAAGGTCAAACCTTAAGTTCATATTTTTGAAATCCTTCACATCACTCATGTATGGTGCATAATGGTGTTGATAATACCTGAAATGTCACGGTCAAACTGAGATAAAAAGGTCACAAAAACATGTCAAGGTCATACTGTATTGTATATCCTGTTAATTAAAACTTACATTTTTGTCAACCATTCTACAACTTTAACTATACTAAATTTACCATCTAAAAACTTCTGGTAAACAATTTCCACACTCTAAATGCATATTATGCCTCATACATACTTTTGTTTTTATTTCTAAAAAACTTTAGATTTTTTTTGGTGTCCTGTAACAGTTTCCAAAATGTTACACCTTGGCCAAGGCTATTACCTGAACCATCTTTTTGCCTCTGTTACCTTTGGCAATTTGACAGCAGAAAAATTGTGATAAATACTGCAAGACCAGTCATTTACAAATAGCATGTAAATTATTACTTATATCTTTATAACTTTTCTTAAAATCTTAGTACATTTTCCTTAAGTTCGATTTTCTTGTCCAAAATTGTTTGGCTCATCTGGAGGCAAAATACGCTTTCAAGTCAACCATTTAGTTGGTTTTTGTCAATTTTTCAATAATTTTGGTCAACCATTCAAAGACTTTTTGACAATAATTCTGTTTTTGGTTAACCACTTTCGATTCATATCTGAAAAGATGGCCATATGCATTGTCCTATCCCTAAATATGTTTCAAATAATTTCTTACCAACTCCATGATGGTACACCTTCATAATAGTAGAGTAAAATCCACTGTATCCCTCTAACGTAGCCTTCTGCTTGGTCTTGTAGAACTTCACTATAATATACATACAGAGATATTATTATAATATATTCTATAATTACATCTACATCTGAATTGTACCATGTGACATTCCAGTATATTCCAATATTGTATGCTGTAGTATCCAATATATTTATGATATATTGTGTGTATCATGTGACATTTCAATATATCCATATTGTATGCTGTAGTATCTAATATATTTATGCTATATTGGATAGTTCTGTTTGATCTTTTGCATGTAATGCCAAAGACTGAAGCCGTTAACAACAAAAGTATCCAAACAATGTCTGTAGCGTCTCTATATGATCTTTGTTCTCAGAATAATCATATAGTCACACTAATTTCCTCAATATAACTTGTATATAGAAGTATGAGGTTATTATAAATCATTGAGTACAATACAGAATTCTATTGGAATACAATGCAGAATTCTATTGGACAAGTACACAGCTATCAAACCTATGTTGGAAGGGACACAAGCAGAGTCAGATATAGGTTCTGCAGCTGTGTTTGACTTTTTAAAGCAATTGGACTTGTACACAGCTTGAGAAATAATATCAAACTTGCCTGATGGTTCAAAAGATTCATAAAATTTTAGATGATAGAGCCACATTTCAAAGTATTTACTAGAATGACATGAAGATGCTCTTCAACATTTGTAAAGGGAGATAACCAACAAAACCATCTGTACACAGAACCCATTATTTGACCAAATTAATTTTCCAAAGAAGACTTTTCAGAAGACTTGGTAACAACCATTATTTGTCTCATTGACATTTAAATCTGCACTTCAGAATCAATGAATGGTTTAAATATCTTTCAAACATATTTATAAAAAAACAAACAAAACAAAACAATTGATCCATTTTAATTCATGTACCAGCTTTATTTATAACATAAATACATGTATTTGTTTCTACATGTTACCATATTTTTGCCGCTAAACGCCATAACGTGTTTTGCACGTTTTACGCGTGTTCCATTATGACGTCGCTTCCGGTAATTTTATTATGTTTTGCACTGATGAAGAAATATAGCCGAAATGTATGCAATAAATAATTACTGAATGTTCATGTTTGTGTGGCTTGTTTGTTTATTTTAAACATATTTATATATATTTACTGAATTACAGTATAACTTGGCTAAAATAAACAAACTTATAAAAAAGGACTTATTTCCTACATGATCAGATGTAAGCAAATACATACGGCGTCACTTTTTCATACTCCATCTTTGTCATGTAGTAGTTACGTTTATGATGACGGAACTCGTCGCCCAACGTGTCATCGTCAGATTCATCAGACACGTCCTCCGATATCTCTTCTGTAAATATAAAACATACAAGACATCTTTATATCTTGGTGGTGTGTGATGTTGGTAATTTTCACTCTGAATAACAGCAGTAAGCCACATTGAATTTACCAGAGCTCAGTTCAGCCACTGCATGGTTCCTGGGCAGTATGTCAAGCAGTTTACCAGTACAAGTTGCCTTCACTTTTTACTGATAACTTCTGTACATGCAAGAGCAGAGGTACAGTGCAAATGACCACAGAAAGGATTTCATTATTAATCATAACGTAAGTGACCTACACAGTCAGGGAATTGAACCCGGGTCTCCCAATTCACAGTCCAACACTCTACCTATTGAGCTAACCAGACAGCTCTTACTAGTTGAGCAAAGCATCTGTAATTATCACTCTATCAAATCATCAATTTCAAATATGTATTCAAAATCCATAAAACAGCATCATTAAGTTTTATGACATTACACTATAAAACATAAACAAACCAGAGTGCTGTGATGGCCACTGTAATGGCTAACATAAGTGAACGTAACGACTACATTTAATCTCACATACAGTAGAGTACAAGCATACAACCTTTATATTATGTTGCGATATTCAACTTCAATTTCTGGTGATATTCAACTTCAATTTCTAAATTTACGATCACTGATTTCTACAATTCTTTTACTATCATGTCAATTTCCAATAGTTAGAATCTAGCCTTTTATCAACAAGAACCAATTTCAAGGAATGTTACCTGAAGTTTCATCAACTGGAGAATCTATCAACTCGGTACCTAGCTCGTCTGATGACACTACATTGTCATCTAATGATTCCAGGAGAGCAAACTGGTTCCTCTCTAAACGCTCTGTTAACCTGCTTAGTGATTTTTTCTGAAGAAAAATATACATATAAAAGACTTAGAAATTTAAATTTCATACTAATGGACTATCGTTTGTAATTACATTTGTCGTGATTTGCGAAACAAAGCTTATCTATTTAACTAAATGGGATGTGCTGAAAAAAATCTGCTTCAAGATTCCAAAGAAATCATGATCAACAAGAATAACTTGAACAAGAGCTGCAAGTCAAAGATAGTAAGCTTGAAAAAATCTTTCTGCTGAGTAACTGTTAACACAAAATAGTTTCCATTTCTTATGAAGAAAAAACTATTTTTGCTGCATAATGTGCCATTTTACCTGGTTTTTAGCAAGTTTCCTTGCTGCAGATAAAGCTTCTGCTTGCCCGGCCGAGGCTTCTGCTTTCTTTGATTCCAACCATTTCAAGTCACCAACTTGCTCGGAGAATGTGTCAAAATCAAACTGAAAATAAAGTGTTTAATCCAATATTTTAATTTGGTTGTGTTTTACATCACACAAACACACTTAAGGCCATATGGCTACTTTCAAGCTTTACTGGTGAAGGAAGACCTCAGGTGCCCTTCCATGCACTATTCAGGTACAATGGGCACCTGAGTAGAACTACAGACATTCTATAAGCTAGCTGGATAGCTTCCTCACATAAAACATTCCAAAGTCTTTGAAGGGATTCAGACCCACAGTGTTGATGACAGGCTTAATCCAGTATAATACATAATGATTTTCCACAATACTGAGACTTGAGAGCATTTTTTGTTGTGAAAATTCATAAAGTTGCATGTTTAATGAAAAAATTTTCAAAGATTTTTATTTTTCCATTTTAACAAATAAAGCATATGATCAAACAAATCAATAATTAATTAAGGTAGACACGATCTAAGATTGATGAAACTTCAAAATCTGTTTGAGATAATGTTTTTATGGCAACATGATAGTACCACTTAATTATAAAATGTTGACGTGTTCATGATAAGTGATAGCCAAGAAATCCAACAATAAGCCATGGCTTATTTCAAGTTTTGAAAAGGTATTGGTACCTTATTTTCAAAGAAGGCTTTTACTGGTAAACAATGATTTTTGAAGATTTTTTAAGTTTACATAATTTTATGGTAACACAAGACTGGCTATATTTCAAGTTAATTTTGATTGTATGAAAATAGTGGCTTATTTTTAAGACATGCAAGATGTGAATTAATTACCTTTGATAAAGCTGTGAGGTATTTTTCAAATCTCTCCAGATTCAGATGACCACCTTCATTTATGTAACCTACAACAATAAAATATACATCTTAAAATTAGCATTTCTGTTCATAGTCGTCCCATCACGACACTGTTAAGGTCATATGGCAGGCCAAGTGTCAGTAATTCTAGTGGAAAAAGACTTGCTCCATGCATTATTTCAGGCACAAGTGTGTACATGAGTAGAACCGATGACCTTCCATAATCTTCATCACCTGAAAGAATGTGAAGTACTTGACAGGCAAGTGATTTGAAATTAGTAAGCAGTTAGAATTACATTAAATGCAGTGTCTACTCAAGGACACATGCTTACAGGATTCTCACTACTTTTCAAAGATGTTGTTTATTTTTATATGAAATTTCAAATACTCTTTCAAAAACAAAACAGAGGGTAAAATACTCTTTGGGTCAAAAGCTTATCTGGAGCTCTGTTGACATGAAGGTAATGAAAACATTTTTATGAGACTTGTGTCCCATTTGATGTAGGTCTGGACTAATTTCTTACAATGTGTAAATGTCAGATCATTCCCTGGCTCTGTTCTCCCAGAAAAATCATTCTTATTGTGCAAAATGACCAAAAAATGAAAAGCATTGCAACACTTTTCACTCAAACCAAGCTAAAAGTCATGCAAAAGATTTGTTTTCAACTTAACTTAGGGTGTATATCTTAATTATCTTTTGCAAATTTTTCCGTCACTTGTTTGATGCATCACTTGTTTTAAGCAAGAATTTCAAACTTTTCAAACTTTTTTTTTTAAGGCTTTTTGACCTCAGTGGAGTTTGTTTGTGTTTTACATCACATCAACACAGAATAAGTCCCTGTCGGGATTCGAACCCACAACGGTGAGGAGCAAATGCCTCAGTGGAGTGCCTTTAAACCTTTCACAATATTCATCTGAATGATCATGAGAACTGTAAACAACTTTACCTCCACATGAGGGTAGTACTTCTATATATGTCCTCCACAGAAGTGGCAATGCATCATGGTTAATATGCAAATTAGGTAGGTGTGGTATAAAGTCATTGCCCACCAGGAATCCCATCATTACCCAATCGTCTATCACATTCTCCAGGTTATATTCAAATGTGGTTAGTTCATTCTACAAAAAGAAAGAGATTGAAAAGAAATTGAGCCGCGTCACGACAAAACAAACATAATGCGTTTGCGACCAGCATGGATCCAAAACCAGCATGCAGATGCGCAGACTGGTCTGGATCCATGCTGGTTGTAAACGCACTATGTTGGTTTTGTCGTGACACGGCTCATTAATTAGAAACAAGAGCACCACAAGTGGTGTTAATGCTTGCTTGTTTAAGCCAATGACTTCAAAATATTAGATTAAACAGTGTTATAGTGATTTGGGTGTTACGCACTTAACTACTCAATAATTTGAATAATTTTGTAAAAGTGAGTGTGCCAAGATATGTGTAATGGCAGCACGGTCAGGTGGTTAAGACCTCTGAATAGTAATCTAAAGATCTCTAGCTGTGTGGGTTCAAACCCCATCAGGGGCAAGCTGTTTTTTCCTTGAGCAAGAAACTTTACACTCATTGCTCAATACTGGTTGGTTACAGATTTGAGAGTGTGTCTATAAGCTTAAAGCTTCCTACACAATCAAATTAAAATGAATTATTTGTTAACTAAGATATGTGTCTATGTAACAATTTATTTGATTTTCCATCGAAAAAAGAAAGAAGCATAACTCTAGAAATACCTTCTTAATCACTAATAAGAATGTTTCATTTGGATATTCATATAAAATATTTCTTGAAAAAAAGATGTTGTTAAAGTTCTGAGTGATTTATGTAATGAAAAATAGATATTTTCTTCTAGAATAATTAACTATCTGCTATACACATGTACATAACATAGGATCATGTACATGTATCTTACACTAACCAACAACATTTATAGATAATTTGTTTTATGGTTTGTTGTCATTAATTATATTAAACACTATTAAGATAATTATTTATGCTATTATAGACTCTCAATTATCAACCAATTCACTTTAGATGGATTATAATACAGAGTCGGGATTTCTCAAATCCTTCACGTTACCTTTAGAGTAGAAAATTCAAAATCCAAATACTCTCTAAACAAAGACAAATGTAACAGGTGGAAAGTGGTCTCCTCTGGTGTTTGTGGCCTGAAAATAAAATTATAATACATACTTAAAGGAGATCCATTGAGGTCCAAAAGCTTAAAACATAAAATTTGAATTAAATTCTGATATAGATCAACTAGGGAATATTTTAACTGAAAAATATCAATAAATAATACAGAAATATACTGAAAAATAAAAATTGAAAATCAAATTTTGTGTAAGATGTAAATGCATTTCACATTTTTCTTTTTAGTCATTATATTTCAAATGATTATTTTGGAAAAACATGATGTGAGATTATCTGAAATTTTGCATAAAAGTTATTGGGCCAGACCTTCATAAAATAGTACACAAAATATAAAAAAAATGTATTTCGAGTCCTGTTATGACAAAAACTCATTAGAGTCCCTTTTTAACATGTGTCTCCTTCACCATGTTTTCCCAATATATCAGAATTACATGCAAATCTTTGACACATAGCATTTATTGAATGTCTAAACATAAATGAAACTGGTTAAAGATTAATCACAGTTGAAGATTAAGCAAACATTCTGTGCATATAGCCCCTCTACTGCCCAAACCAACCTATGTTGGGACATTAATAAAATGATGACCTGGTTGACCACAACTGTGACTTGTTCACTTTTCTAATAAAAACAATGGCATAGTCCTTTTAACATTCATTTATGAGCTTCAAAACCAACTTACAAATGAACCATAAAGTGCCTTTTTTGTTCAATCAAGCTTTAGATATACTCTTATATTAACTTTAGTTCACAAGTTTATTTATTTCAAGAGACACTCATCAAAAGTCAATTTTCTCACCTTTTATTTCGACTGTCTTTTCTACCACCAAATCTCACCTCTTCTCGGAGCAGAGAAAAATGAGGCTCATGTGATGCCAGGCCCAACATCATCTGTTGAATAAAATATCACTTTGTACACTTATAAATACCAAACAAAGATAAAGCGACCCTTAAGGGATATAAACTAATATCATAACTTGAAAGGTTCGTAACAATCCATTTTTTTTCTTAATGGTTGAAATGAAAAATATCAATATTGAGATAACGAACATTTTACTGCTTATGGCCTTCATGATCAATTCCTACACATCAAAACTTTGAATCTGTATCAAACAGCCAATAAACACCACTGACACCGATATTATTTCTTATATAGAGAACTTCAGAAGTCATTACAGTATAGACCCTGGTCAGACAACCTAACTGCATTTTTTAGGGTCTTGTAGACTTATAATCAGCATTTTTGACTAATCATGAACTGTTACCAACCAAAAAATTAAGTAATTTAACTCACCAGATCTGCATCCAGTCCGTACAGACAATGTCTTGTGTTTGCATCGTAGTTAACATCTGATCGTTCGGCTCGAATAAAATCCATAATCTTGTGCTCTCCTTCCCCTGGCGTCTAGAAATATAATACCAACACAATAATAGAAACAATCTCTAAAATGCGCTTAATTTATCTACAGCCAACATACAAATTTACATTAACACAATAAAAACTTAAGACCTAGTTAGTTTTAACATATTTGCATAAGCTTGCTTGCGAAACAAGTTCTTGCAACTTAAAGTGTTCACTTTTGAGTCCGCTTCTCTGTAAATTTCAAAATCTATTTTTCAGAAATATCCAGTGTAAGGTAGTCCCAACATATTCACACAAATTATCAGCTATAAAACAAAGCTTACTTCATGCCCGGAGAGATAGACCCTCACACCTTGCCACAGGGGGTCAGTACTTGTCTTCTTTACAACAAAATACTTTAACTGTTCTTGTAGCCGTACCATAAACGGTGTTCCTGAAAGTTATGAATTATTTTAATAATAAACCTACATATGTATTCACTTTGTAAAGAAATGGCTACTTCATATGAATCTTCATTTTCTATTTCCCTTGAAACATGAGCACTGCATGCAGGATTAACATCGTCTGTTTAAGTATCTATAAAAGCCATTTATTTCAATCTTGCTTTAAAGTTCTTTAATCATAGAATATTCTAGTTTAATACATAGATACAACAATACTTATTATGATAAAATATAAATACATATATAAGCTTTATCTTTTTACATCAATATCACCAATTAAGAAATATTTTCAGTAAAACAACAACAAATGATAAAACTTTAAAAATATCTAATGTAATAGTTAGTCAAGATAAATTACCTGGTGTAATACAGTTGGAGTCAAATCGTTTCTCAGTTGGTAGGGTCTCCCCCTTCTGCATGGCACGTTTTTCTAGCTCTTCCGCCTCCCTCGCAGACCTAGAAATATTTTAGACATAGACTCATTGTACTAACTTTTTGTATTCTATATTTACATGTAATTTATCTTTATATATACATGTATGCTACCATCAACAAGAGTTTTTATTTTCATGAATCTGCATTCAGAGACTACCAAATTAGGTATTGTTTGAAATTAGATGAGGCTGGCAGAGGGTTGGAGGCAATGCAGTAGCATCCAATTTATACAAATTTACAGAATTTTTTATAATCCATTTTGAGTTTCATTATTTTGTTTACATTTTTAAGTCAAGTCAAAACTTTAGAGGACATTCAGTGACTTTAGAGCTTTACTGTTGAAGAAAAGAACAGGTGCCCACCAGGCGCAAACAGGCACCAAAGTAGTACCATCAGCCTTCCATAAGCTAGCTTGATAGCTTCCGAACCTATAAAACAATACCCGAATCTACAATAAAATATCTGAACCTACAATATTATATCTGATTCTACAATACATATCTGAATCTACAATATAATACCTGAATCTACAATATAATACCTGAATCTACAATATAAAACCTGAATCTACAATACAATATCTAAATCTACAATACAATGCCCTAATCCACAATATAATACACGAATCTACAATATCTGAATCTACAATACTATACCTGAATCTACAATATAATACCTGAATCTACAATACATATCTAAATCTACAATACAATGCCTTAATCCACAATATAACACCTGAATCTACAATATAATACCTGAATCTACAATACTATACCTGAATCTACAATACAATACAAGAATCTACAATCTACAATATAATACCTGAATCTACAATACTATACCTGAATCTACAATATAATACCTGCATCTACAATCTACAATATAATACCTGAATCTCCTGCCTCTTTGTTGGTTCATCTTTGCGCGTGGTGCTACACCATCAACAGCCATGAAGAATACTTTCCTTGGTTTGATCATTCGAAACAGGAACTAGTGAAATTAACAAACACTCATTAATTACATGCTAGTCTTAACTGAACTACAATTCACCACAATACAATTTACAATTATATGATTATATATTTAACGTAGAGTGAAGCCCATGAAAAATATGTATCTTTAAGTTTTATTATATCTTACCCTTATTTTAACTTCTTTTAACTTAATATTAAGACTACATGTACATCAATTTTTAAAACCACATTTATTATTTAAGACACCGAAGCTGGCAGTCTTGACAACATGAGAGTGGATCACTTTCCCAGGAGAATATTTTGATGTAATTACAATTTTAACGATACAACTCACATTATTTGATACATATATTATTACATTTTTTCTAACAAAAACTTCTAAAGAGGGAAAAGTTCATTGGTTTCTCAGGCATAATGTACCTTTAAAATTTAGCATTATCTTGACCTTGAAATTGAAAAGTTTGCATCATACATTTATATGTACAGAAATTTTCATACAGAAAATGTCTTTTTTGCTTTTATTTCAGTTAAAATTCAATCAAAGGTTTGGGAAAACTTACCTTTTTGAGAAAAATAGAGCAAACTTGGGTGTAAAAAAAATGCTGAAAAAAGAAAAGACACTGCCATCTTGCCAATTAAATTAAACCATGTTTGTTATATATTTACCTCAATGTAATACATGATATCAGCAAATATCTTCTCTTCTGTAATCCTGAAATGTGGATTATCATCTTCCGGATGGGAACAGACGTGTACAATACCATTCATGTCCAGGTACAGATTGTCAAATTCTGGTATCTGAAACAAAAAACATGCACATTTAAATCACAAATACTGTAACTATCTATATACCTACAAATGTTTCTTGTTGATAGCTCTTGAAATGATTTCAGAGCTATGTACCGGACAAAGTTCAGTGAAAGAATTAATAAAGGGCAATAACTCCATAACAAGGCAAGGCAGAGTTATGGTTCTTTTGCACTGAACTTCTACCCAATGAGATCTATCTACCTACAAAGTTTCATGTTGATATATCTTATAGTTTTCGAGTTATGTCCTGGACAAAATTCAAAGTGTAAAAATGAACAAAGGGCAATAACTCCAAAATTAGGCATTGATAGTCATGATTGCTTTGGGGATGATTAATTTAATTACTTTCATGTGTTTCTTTGATTGTCATGATTGGTTTAGCTTGACTTTGATTTAACTTACAGATATGATATCTGTAATATGATCAGGGGGTTATTGTCCACTTTTAATAATCTTTGGTGGGGGGGGGGGGCAATTCTTCACCTTGGCAAATTATATGGGGAGGGGCACTATCCAGGGGAGGGGGGGGTGGAAGAAGATAATCTATTTCAGACTTCTCTTGCAGAGCTGTATAATAAATAGTTAAATCAATAACTACACAATTTTTCATGTTTTATTTTTTACAAACAGGTTTTAAGGAGTCAATTTGAATATTTCAATCCACTTACATCTAACTTATTTGTATTTCTTACAAATGGAATACCTTTTAAAGCTTCCACAGATAAATACCTATAACTTGTGAAAATATGCAGACACATTTCTGTTACCCAACTTATACATTCTATCATGGTCCAAAAGTAAAACTTCTCATTCTTTTAAGATTAGTATGCTGTTGAAGTTTCTTTTTTGTTTTCCTTCTTTTGTTACATAATTTACTAACTGGAGGCAAACCACTTTAAAATTTGCATTATTCACAAGAAAAGGTATTTTGTATTTTCCTTGCTAATTAGGAGTACTCTGAAATTAATGATATGAATTCTTCCTTTTACACTTGAATGTTGATTCTTATGTTTTAGTATTATGTGACAATGCCTGGGTAGAATCTAATCTTTTCAGTGTATAGTTGTTTATTGGGAGGTCAGTGTTTATTTAACTGAGTAAGTGCTTGTATATCACCATTTGGCAACATATATGTACACCATGGACATTTGTGAAAGTCATAAATTACATAAAATACTAGCAAAATTGTTTAAGATACAAACAGATCATCAAATTATGTATGATTTCAAGAAAGAAACAAAATCTTTTTTATCCTACCAGTACCATTAACATAGATCTAATATATCCAAGTCAATTTCAGTTTGAGAATTAAGGGTTACAAAATATTATAATTTAAAAACCGAAGGACCAACTACTAATTATCAGAACAGAACTTTCTTTTATTTGTACATAGTACATCATTATATTCCATACAATTTCCAAGCACATAATTATCATATCATTTTTCTCTAAAATTATCATAAACAAGTTATACTTTATTCATAACTAATTTGTAAAATCAGTTAAAATATTTACTACTGTCCATTTAGTATTTCAATTAAATTACCTGGTTATGTTAAATCACCTGATTATTATAACAACATCAATAAAATATTTCTTTTTTCGAACATTTTCAACATAAAACTAATAATGAGATTATATTGATGGAAATTATTAATTTCACAAAGTATAAAAAGTAAAAATTTAAATAAAGAATTATAATTAAATTAACAGAATGTTATTTAAAACATTCACATATTATCAACAGAAATTTTGAAACAGTAACAAAATCTGAAATATTAATTTACATCTTTTTTCTTGGCTAATCTATTTCTTGAAATTCACAAATCAATGACAATAAGGTATACTTTGGCCGCAGGACTTTTGTATTTTATTCACATGCAGTGATTTTGAGGCCAACATGTAGTACATTATGTAAAAAAAAGCTTTATCACATAAACCGCGGCGTAGGAGTGTAATAAAGCCATTTAATAAAAACGATATCACACTAGTGTAATAACACTGACGCGACGTCATTTGCGCTATATAGAAACATAGCGTTAAAGCGCGCTAGTGTTAGCGTTACACCATGTGCGTGTCATTGAAAAATTATTCATTTAAACAGTTCACTGTTCTTATTTTATATATGTGATAAATAGAATATTATATTCGTGTAGATTCAATACTAAATTTATTGAACTCGTTGAATAAAATAATATTATGCTCGCCAGAGGCTCGTATAATATGATTTTATTCAACTCATTCAATAAATTTAGTATTAAACTACACTCATTCAATATGCTCTATGTATGCATTGCTTCGTAAACTGCATTTATAGACGATATAGCCATACAGGATATGGCTAGCAACACAAAGGCCAATATGGCTAGCAAGTTGAAGATGTCACTCATACATAACAGGGCTCATCCGGAAGGGCGATTCAGGCGAAAACTTCGCCGTGTATATTTCCATTTCGCTCTCACAATTGATCAAAGAGAAGTCAACATCGCCGATAAAATCTTAATTCCCAAAGAGAAATTACTTGGCGATGTAAAGAGTAGAGATTGTATACGCCCATATGAAGACTGCTAATTATCATTATCCAATCAGAGCGTCCCTTTATACTACCCTTCTACCTGTTCAAAGCGATAGACCGCCTACTCTAAACAGTAAATAATGAGAGCATCGGCCCGAAACGGGTATAATTGTGTGACAGTTTTGCGAGTTTTATACGGGATTTGGCGATAATTATAGATTGTTTTTTCCCCGATCATCTAAACACGTGCAAATCTTCCCTAATTGATATACACGCGGTGTTTAACCCGAGTAAAGGCGATCTGCAATGGGTTTTTCACGGCTATCACAAAACTGTTAGTCAATTAAAAATAATCAATTTCATTAATGATCAGCGACCGGATTAAAAACTTAATCATAGTTTTGAATGATTTCAGTCCGTTAACATTAGTTAAAAAATTGTCATGTCGCTCACGTCATGGCTACAGGGCGAAATGCCCAAACCTAGAAGTAAAAGAAAGTTACTGATTCTGACGCAAAAATTCTACGCAAAAATTTAAGAAAGCCAATTCGCAAAAATCTTACGATTGGTATGTTGCAGACAGTGAGAGTGTTTGGCATTGTTATCTTTGTAGAAATGTCAAATTGACACAGCTTACGCACGTGGGCACGACATCCCGGAAAAACTACGAATCATGATCGGCATGCTACATATCGGTCGTATATCATGTGTACATGTATATAACAACAAAATTTGTCAGTAAAGAAGTGTTCTTATTGTTTCAATATATATATATCTGTTTTAATGTCATAAATATGACGCTGAGATTAAGATTTATCAATATTGTAAATTTCAAAAAGCATTATTTATAAAGATATTACGAGTTTAAAATTTCATGAAAATAAAGGGAGGTAATTAGAAATTTATTTTCTATAATTTCTCAGTCAAATTTTTCAATAAGAAATGAATGTATATAATTTTAGTGATCAAATATAATGTGCACAAATGTTTTGCAGTACATATTTTACATATTCTTCGATGTTTGAAAATTGTTTTATAAGCATAACTATATGCACATAAATATGACATTACTACATTCGTGCCTGTGTATAGATCATATAAGAATTTTCTGTAATCAGAACAGAATAGGCAGATTTTGTTTGAAACTTTATCTTCTATTAAAAGTGAGGAAAGTAAAAATATGAAATTAATTTATTCATCAAATTTTTTCTTACACATTATTATCGATAAATCTACATAAAATATATAAACAAATATGTAGAGAAAGCTTATAAATAGCTGATAAATAGATTAATTGTGTTTATATTATAGTTAAGGATGTATAGCCATGCATGTTAATGCATACACATTGGGCTGTTTCCCTTCTCCCTATTTCTCGCGAGGAAGTCACTTCTCCCTAAAATTTCCCCCCAGGATGAGCCCTGCATAAGTAAAATTTTATAATTTAGGTAAGAAAAACGGAGAACATTCTATCAAGAAAATAATGAAATTAAAACAAATGATATGCTGAACATGACTGATGAAATTGTGGTGCAACAGTTCAAAATCTTCAAAAAAAATCATGAAAATGAAATTATTTTTAGCAAACAACCTGAAATTCCTTTACAACTTCTGAAAGACATGGATATCTTTCAGAAATCCATCTGTAAAACTTCGGAACCCCCATTCTCTGTCACTTTCTTCAATACCGTTTATAATTTTTGAAAACCCGCTAGATTATATTTTGTGTAACTTTTCTTTTCATTTTCTGAAATCGCGCATAGTCTCGGCGAAGTCTATTTCTATTATGTAGCCGTTCTAATACCGTATATGACGACAGTTTCACACCGCTAAAAGTGTTTGAGAAATCAAAGTGCTGAAAGCACTGACTGTAACTGCATAATGTCGAGGGGAACAAGATTCTTCTCTACCCAGACAATTAATCACCTGCAAAAATAAAAAAACAAAATCAGTGAGACACTCAACCCTTATTATTTCTTGGAGTAACAAATGCACCATTTATTTGTTGATTTCTTAGAAAATAATCTTTATTTATAGTACTATATTATAAACTATTTAACTGCAGACATTTTTTGGCATAATTTTAACATTTAAACATATATCACGAAAAATAATTAACAGTCACCATACAAAATGAAACTTTTAATGCATACAGTAGCATCAATTAAACATTTTACAGCTTAAATAAAATGAAAACTTTTATTCTTACACATCCCGCAATTTTTCCCTATTAAACATAGAAGAACCGAAACTGTGTATTATTATGGAACAAAATCAAGTTGTTGACGTTCTATATTTAGACATGTGACATAATCATTATACATGTAACGTAACAACTAAATAACAACAGCTTGATAAAATCATTTTTGTCGTTCGGATGCATACGTATCATTATATCAATCAGGCTACGGCCTCGTGATATAATTCCTGGCATCCTAACTCCAAACAGTAATTTTATTGAGCAATAAAGTCACAGTTGGGGGTGTATTATTTCTTAAACATTCTTTACATTAAAGATGATTTGAAGATGACATGCAAATAGAAAAAAAATCAATAAACACGCGGAACTAATTGCTGACAAATAAATATGTGTGTGACTTTCAACAGTTACAGTAAACTATTAAGGTACTATATCATATGTCAATTAAGGACATAAGAAGTGTGAACGGGATTAAAGCATCATCACATATCATTTTAAAAAATCACACTCCTTAAAAATAAGTGATAAAAATAAGTCATTGTAATCAGTGAAACTTTCAATGCAATTTTAAATTAAAATAATATCACAGAAAAACATGCACATCAATGATCATATTATTTATTTACTATTTAAAAAACAAATTATTGTGGTAGCTTTATAAGGAAAATAAAAACAATATTTCTATTTTATAACATAATCAAATAGGTCATCAAATATTATACAATTATTAACTAGTTAGCCATTGAATATTTCAATAGTCTATGCTGTATGGTCAAATGAATGTGAGCCTGATTCTATTTTAGACAGGGAAAATAAGCCAGGGAATATGATACAAGACCTAGTCAAATTTGTAATAAAAATAATAGTTCAGAAAGCTGTCTCTCTATCTCCGTGTTTTGAAAGTCTCAATTAATAATCTAATGAATAAAAATTGTGATATTTCATCATATCGCAATATTGTATCCAATATCCTTATGATACAATTATATTTTCAAAATACGGCTTAAAAAGAACAAAATTCAATTTTCCCGATCTGATTACGTAGTATTTTCGTGATTAGTCAGATTCTGTAAAATTCATTAAAATTATCATTTTCTACAAAATCATATATCTAAATTCTTACATAAACACAATTGATATCCCCAAAAGTAAAAAAATGTAACATTTAATCTAATTATCATTTGAAATGGAAGAATTTATTGACTTTTCTATCAAACATCTCAAATAAGAATAACTGGGTGTGAAACGTTTATACCATTTACAAAGTGGGAGTGATACGTTTCGGTGTAAATCGTCTCGGTAGTGAAATGTCTAACTTTCAAACAAATTTATAACTCCAATAGAAACATATACACTTAACAAATCTTATAAGTGTGCACCTTTTATGTCCTTATAACTTTTTCGTTTATCAATATATTTTTACAAAATTTTGTGTTCTGACTATTGGCTGCTTTTCCACACTTTTCCTGTGCTCAAGCATGCCAATTTTAATTATGAGGTGCAATCAACCATGAACGAACGAAATTAACACAATGCACGAAAAAATTGATAGAATGGGTGAAATAAAATTGCACAAGATATTCTCGGATACGATAGAGATCGACATATCAGAAAAACATAACATGGGTAGATTATCTATACAACAGCGTGGTTTAGCCCTAGGATTGGTCAACGCTCGTGTACACCAAACAGAGGTTGGTAACAAAATTTATTTGTTTAAATAATTATATTAATTCATTTGCATTGGAAAAGCCGAAAATCATTTAAATTCAGTTTCTACCTAAGACGAATATAAAATTTATATTTTTTTTATTTAGTAATAACTTGTCTGTTTCATTTGTAGGTTGCGCCTCGCATGGGTGTACACCGAAACTATAAGAAGGCTAATCATTAAGTACAGAGCAACTTCGTGAGTAACCTTCCTCTAAAACCCCAAAATTATCTACAATGGTAAGTAAGATCGATGTGACGACGCTGCCGGGCTGAAATGCAAAGTTAGGGTGGGCACACGCGGTATAAGGACATCATTTTGCAACATCGACTTTCGACACGCATTCACATTTTTTAGAATTACATCTTAAATTTGTATCTTGAATAAAAAATACTGAATAAAAATGATAACATGTCTCTTTTCTGTATTTATTGAAAATTTCAGCATGATCGGACAAATATTGATACACCTATGAAACCATTTATACATGCACACTTATAAGATTTGTTAAGTGTAATTCCATGTATTTTAGTGTCTCTGTTCCGATGCAAAATTTTGATAAACAGATGTCATTTGAGCAGTTTAATAATTTGTTAAGTCTGGGAAATTAAATGACCAGACATGCAGCTTTCGACTGGATTTGCGGTTTCACATTGGCATCCAACTGACAGCCGATCAATGTTTAAATCATTAAAAACGCGATAAATGTTTCTTGTTTAAAACACATATTTATGCTGTTAATGTTAAAATCATATTGATGAATTTTCATTAAATCATGTAAAGACCATTTGAATACTAAAGTACTGTTAAATCGTATGTCAATTGACATTTATTTCTCTCATTTCTTGTCACTTATTGTCGTATAATATTATGTACAAGTTTTAATTAATCAAACATACTAGCTGAACACATCTTGGACAGATGTTACGAAAAGCTTTGAATTAATACAAAAAAGCAAATCAATATTCGTATTCAGATCAGTCTTCAGTGTCTAAGTTATTTATTTATTTGAAGCAGACCGAACCACTAAAAAGTTAAAAGTTATAATAGTACCTGTATTTACATTAACAAAATTCTACGTTTTTTTACATGTATTGCATTGTATTAGAATCATGTAGAATTGACCTTTCCTGAAGCAGAAGCATGATAAATTTTCATTGATGTTAAGAAAGCAGAGACATAGGCATGCAGCATGTTATGAATGTCTCTGGAGAATGTCGCCATATGACCATTACAGTGTCTATTTGACTTACCTTGAATATTGATAAGAATTGAGAGGACATCTTTGACAAAAACTTTCGTTTGATATATAATATATCTGTGGTATTATAAAAGTTTGATTTTTTACATAAAAAACAAACAAAATTTAGCGGTGTAAGACCAAATATTCACGGCATTTACGGGAAATAGTTACAAAATCTCGCGGGAAGTACAAATCATTGGACGCTTGATTTTGAGTGTTTATAGTCCGAATTTTTAATATTCTGCGGAGTTCAATGTATGAAGCGTAAAATACCCTTTTAAATCAATGTTTCGACTTATTGAATATCTGCCGAAGGACAACAAAAATAGATCTCTATCAGATTAAAGTTAGCAGATATATTTTTAATTTTACGTTCTCATTTGATAAGTTTGGTGTCGCACAGTAAACAAGTTATGATAATTTGACAGATGGCGGGTAAATTATGTACAAATTATCTTCAGAAGTTTATTTTTGATTAGTTTCAAAGAAGTGTCAGATGGTAAGTACCTCTTTAAAATATTTGCTAGATGTTATTGTTCTTTGCTTTATTTTATTTTTTAGATTCAAGAATGGTGATAAGCCTCAAGTTCTGTTTGTAACATGTTTTCGCGAGAGAGGTCATTGATTAGAAATTTGAGATACTTATTTATTACGAGGATCATATTTGTTATAGTCTTAGAATTTGGACATTGGATCAAATATCAGAAAATAGAATCTTTTTATTTTCACTATCTTAGATTTCTCGAAGAGACGATTATAATTGAAATAATCTATTCTATTGCAGACAAAGGGGTACGGCTCATTGAGTGTTCACGAAATATGTTTGATGGTAGAAAACATTTATCCTAATTCAGAAATGAATTCTAAGCCCATTCCCATTACACAATATACTAATATATAGACTATATATCAGTGTTGCATCTAGGCCGCGCGATTGAGCGATTCGGCATTTTTTATGCAGATCGCGCATTTTAATGAAGTCAACGCGCGCCAAGTCGCGCATCTGACGATTTTTTAACTTAATTCAGTTTATCTTCATCGTATCTTGAAAGCTTCAGCCATGTTTGTTTTCACTCGTGGTAATGACTAAAATACATACTAAATTGCGTGTAGCAGCCGACTGGGTCATCTCGCGCGTGTTTTGTAGTATTCGTCAATATTTTATTTTTTCTACTTCCGTTTTTGAGCGGACGATAGCTGTCAAAAATGCCTGAACGTAAAATAAATTAATTCTTTTCGATAAGTCATAGTGTAAGGTAAATGTATGTCCCCCACATTTTTTTCAAATCCCCCACATTTTTCAGTTGAGTGGGGGACAATCCCCCATAATTTTGAAATTCTAGATGCAACATTGTATATATTATACTGTGCTCCTCTTAGTTCACGGTACTTAACGCTTTGAAACCAGAAAGAAACAACAAAATTAATGAAATATATGGTACAAAAATTGTCATAATCTATAACATATATGTATTTTCTGCTTAACGACTCAAGGAAACAGCAATAAATTCAGTCAAAGTTAATTTTAATGGACCAAACGTAGACCATATGTCGGCCATTTTGAAAACAGTAGGTCATCATTTAAATCGCGGTAATGGTGTTACATTTCAGTTTTTACATGTTTCAGTTAAAAT